GCTCAATCCTGAGAAGAAGATCTGACCTTTACTCAAATGTTCAATCTATGATGTGATTTCAATTTGGTTCATTTAAGGCTTTTACGTAATAATTTGATTTTATCCTATGGTTCTAACTTCAATAGAAATAACTATTAAATACAAGTTCTTGTTCTGATTAACATGAGAAGAATCATATAAATCTTAGGACAATAATAACAGCAACCATAAGGAAAATATAAGAGGTGATAAAATGAAATTTTATTCATTTAAAACTTTCAATTAGGAATGGTCATCACCAGATCCATCCAAAGAGCTATCCAAATAAAAACATCTGTTCTGGGGCTTTACAAAATTGAACAGAAAGGTAGAAAAGTTTTCTTTCTCTTTTCAAGACTCTGGAAATTGGTTTTTTTTTTTTTTTTTGGCTAGATGAACTAAAGTGGAACTACAATAGAAATAGTGAGGCTGAGGGATGGTAGTGCACTTCAGCAATATTACAGAGAGAAAATGTAAAGAAAAACAAGCACTGAATTCTAGAATATAGGGTTGTTATGGATTGAGTCTTTTGGTTAAACTGTGGAACTGATTTGAGGGGAAATATGGAAGTTTTATAAGAGGTGTGTGGCTTTTGTCAGGGAGATTAAGGGAGGTCGGTAGCTTGAGAGGAGCAAAGGGGAAGAAATAGTGACAGTGGAGGATAAAGAAAGAAGGGAATAATTAGGAAAGAGAGTAGCCTCTGGCAGGCTGGGCAGTGATGATTGATTGAAAAGTGAACCAACAGGAGAATGCAATGAGAGAAGGGAAGATATAAAGCGGCTATATGTTTCTGGAAGTAAAGGAATAGTATGGGAAAGAAAACAGAAAAGATAAAGTAAGGGAGAGAGAGAAAGAATGTGAATGGATAAAAGCAAAAAAGTGATAAAGGAAACCCACAATCATAATTGCACATTGAAGAAAACTTTAGGCCCTAAAATTTTAGCATTTAGCCAAATTTAGGATATTTCTTGGATAACGATTAAGAAAAAAAGCAAAAACAAAAAGTAAATCATATGGGAGACGGGGTGCAAAAGAGCTCGAAATTATGATCCAAAATGCAGCACTCAACACATGTTAAACGAAAGAATTTCAAATTAAGTCTTTATCCACAATCATATCATCAGCATAGGCATGCATATATCCATATATAACCATAGGTGGATCCTCAAAGCAACCAAGGTAAATTTAGCTATACTAACATGGCACACAATAAGACATGATGTCTATTAATAGCAGTCAAAATTTGAATAGATCACCAATTAAATGTTCTTTGTGCATACAAAACAATAATAGGTGTTGTTACAAAGGTAGTATTTTACAGTTTGTTGAAATCAATCTTGACTTATTATTCTAATTTACCAACTAATCTAACTAGATTGCATGAAAAAGTTTACATCATTTAACTGGAATATACTGAGGTGGTATTATACTAATTATAAACAAATAAAGGCCGGAGAATATGAAAATTCAAATGGATTTAAACACCAGGCCTAGCTTATAAACTTCCTTATTAGTACCATTTATCAAAACAAAAGTTTCCTTACTACATAATTGTCCAATATCAATAAGCATAAGTACACTGTTCATGTCAATAGATAGAAAATAAAAGTCCACATTCAAGCAACAGACCAGGCTAGAAGATGAACAAAGAGAGAGCTGTGAGAATGGAACTGTTTTATAAGTTATAATAAAAAAGCAACAAAATTAGAGTTTAAACACACAACAACAATGAACTTCAGCTAAATGTAACTACCAAATGCCAAACACTTCAATATACCAACACCTCAAATAGCAATTATAGCTACCAAATGAAGCATTTAAAAAAACCAAATCACCTTAAATTCCCAAAAAAAAAAAAAAAGAACCCTAAAAATAATCAGATTCGAAGCACAATCGCATGCAAATAATCAAATTAGATGCAACCCACAATCATACACAAACCCTAAATTTCCAAATATAAAAGCGGGTAAAACGATAAATTGAATTCAGTAAAGAGAAAGTAAAAATATTTCTTACCTGCTTAAGTTGACCTCGTTTCTTGGCCAAATTAACGATCTGCTCATTTAGAGACTTCCAATCCTTGTCTTCAAAACAAAGCTGCAATATGTCGGTGACCGCTTTCTTGGTCCCAGCGACATCGCCGGCGAATCGCATCTGCTTCTCAACATTAAGCAACTGATCGATCGCCGCCTCCATATTTCCGTTTTTACCCTCCTGTAAAATCCCCAAATAAAAAAAAAAATCAGTGAGAATTTGAAGAAGTAGAAGAAAATGGAGATTTCAGATCTCAAAAGAGAAGAGGAAAACAATAATAATAGAAAGTTCGATGTTACCATAGCTTCAGACAACAAAACCTAGCAGACAGAAAAAGAGGAGTGAAACTCTGAGTTTCTTGGATTCGTGAACTTGCTTTAGCGGAGAAAATGAGAAAAGCAGAGTGTTATAAAGTCGGACCGGACAATCATGCCTAAACCGGGTTTTGGGTTTTTAAGTTCAAAAAAGTCCGGTTCTAAATTTTTCTCACGTTCTTTTTGCACAAGACAAAGAAAGAGAGGCAAACCAGCCTAGCATTCCTCCAATGAATTGTTTTTTTTTTTTTTAATAGTTGATATTATTATTTGTAATTTATAAATGTGAGAAAAATAAAAATATATATAAAAAGAATCCCAAACCAGAGTAGAGTAAAAAGAAAATTAAAAGGTATACTCAAATTATTTACTCATCATAAAATTTGTCATTTTGATTTGGTTAAATTATTTTTACGATATCTAAATTTGAAGTAAATATTATTTTAATTCTTAAATTTTAAAAAATATATATATTGATCTCCTATATTTTGATGATTGTAACAAAACGTTTCTTCCGTTAGTAAAATTAAATTGATATAAAAAGAAAAATTATAAAGTAAGATATTGAATTGATAATATTATAAATTTAAAATTAAGAGATAAAATAATTATGAAAGAAATAAAGTTCGATAAAACTTATTTTTTTAATTTATTTTTATGGATATTAATTTTTATCAATTTTTATTGTTATTTTTGTGATGCTAATTTTTAAATTAATTAATTTTTTTATTTTTTTATGAAAAATTTTTGTTAAATTGCAATTCGACTTACTGATATATGGAGTTGTCAACAAGAATTACTAGTTAGGTTTGATTTGAATAGAGTTTTGAACATGATTTTTAAAATTTAAACTCAACCTCATCAAATTATTATTTTATTAATAAAATATTTTTTATGTAATTTTATTTTAAAATATTAATATAAAATTTTTTTAATATTTTAATTTTTAATAGTAAAATGGGCCTGTTGCCTTGAACGAAATTTTGACAGTATCATTCAAATTTAACTCAATTTATGAAAATTTTTAATTGCAATCCAAATTAATAAATTTGTTATTTTATATTAATAAGTGATAACAAGAATTTTATAATATTTCATTGAAATTTGTATACTAATATTTTATAATTAAAATTTTTTTAATTTTTAAAAAATATTTTATGAGTATGAAATATTATAAATAAATGACAAATACACAATGAAATATTTTATGATGATGTATAATCTAATTATGTGTTTTAAACAAATAATAAATAAATTTGAAGAAAAATAGGTAATTTTCATTTTCAAAATACATACTTTTATTTTTTATCCTAAAATTGGACTTAAAAAATATTTACTAACAAAATTAAAGATAAAATATAATTTTATTTTTTATATAATTATCAAATTTTATAGTATTAAATAAAAAAATTTTATCATCATCTCTCTTTTGTAATTTTAACATCTAATGGCTTAACTAACTATTTGAATGATGGAAAAACCATTTTGTTATGATCATTAAAATATAATGATTAATATATTATTTTTAAAAAATTAAAAAGCAAAACGATACTCATATCAAACTTTAAAAACAACAGAAGTAATTTACCCATTTGATTTAATACTGAGTTTGTTTTAATACCTACCATACCTTTATCTAAATGAGATGCTTGCAACGGTCAAGATATTCATTTACTACTATATTTGTTGTTAGGGTTATTATATTAATTTATTATAATATAAGATGATTTTTTTTATAAAAAAATTTGAAATAAATAAACTATTCAATCTCTTAAATCATGACAAAATATGTCATACCTGACAATCTAATATAAATAATTATAAATCGTGTATTTAAAATTATCTTAACAAGTAACTATGGGTAAAATTCGAATCTAATATCTTTTTATCGATGATAAAATATAAGATAAATTATATTGCAAGGAAGTGAAGCCATCTTTGATATTATTTTGTAAGATGATATCAACACTAGCCTATGCTTGAGAATTAATTTAGAAAGTATACATATTGTATAAAATTTTAGACATTATGAATTTGAGAAGATTTAATCACGTAATATCTTTGAATTAGATATAAATTAAAATTAAAAGATTGATTAAAAATTAAAAAATTTAACCTCGTCAAATAATAGCAATATCTATATTAACATCACTAATTTTACTTTAAGCAAACCAAATGCCTGTATACCACTAGAAAAATTTCTCTGTAGCCATTAATTAATTAATGACCATTCTTAGCCGTTAATTTAAAAAAAAAAATTCACCACTCTTAGCGTAAATAGTTTCCGATCTTAACTCTTAAAAATGTAGAAAGAAACAAAGGCATGAATATCACATAAAAGTCACAAATGAGTATAGAAATTAATTAAAAACTCAAAATTTTGGAAATGAAATTATCTAAACCCTAAACTCAAATCTAAATACTTAACCCCAAATCATTCCATACCCAAAATGATTTGAATTTTAAGTGATTCATGGTGTGAAATAACTCAACTTCAACTCGACCAACCGCGGCCCATGCCATCCCAGTTCTTACCAGTTGCAGGTCAAGTCAACCAGGGGAACATTTGTTACATTTCCAGTACAAATAAAAAGGGGCAGAGTTTATCATTAAAAAAAAAAAAAAGAGCGAAAATGGACTCAAAGACAAACCGAAGCCAGACTTAGAAGCGTTAGACACTCATCCGCTCAAGATCTCACCTACCACCAAGTGTCAACAGTTCTTCTCCACCAACTACCTTCATTCTTCCTTCCCTCTTCTTTCTTTCTTCCTTTACTTTTTAGCACAGAAAAGAAAAGCTGTTGAAACTAACCAAGGTCTCAGCAGAAATGTCATCCTCCTCCTCCACTAAAGAAGCCAATGTCATCACCTGCAAAGGTAACTCTTGACACCCATCATTCCTTTTTTCTTCTTCTTTTAATTGTTGTGTTGTTATGGTTTGATTGATATTTTGAATTATTCTAATTTGTTGTTAAAGCAATGGTGGCATGGGAAGCTGGAAAGGAACTGGTGATGGAGGAAGTGCAAGTGAGCCCACCTCAGCCTCATGAAATCAGGGTCAAAGTTGTTTGTACCTCTCTTTGCCGCACTGACATTACTGCATGGGAATCTCAGGTGCTTTCTGCTTCTTCTTCTTCTACAGATTAATCCCAATTGCTTTCCATTTTTTATATTATATGTTAACTCTGATTGTTTTATATTCCCCTCTATAATACCCAACTTGCCTTTGCATTATATTAGGGTACCCTTATTGACAGCAGAAGAAGAAAAGATCAGTCATTTATTTATTTGATGTCATTCTCAATGAATGAGGGTGAGATGCCATTGTCAGAGCTCAAATATGTAAAGAACTTTAGGTGGTCAAATTTCTAGTTGAATGCAGAGCCTTCTGCAAAATAGTAAGGAATTTGGGAGGAAAAATATTCTAGTTGACTCCATGTCTTCTTCACAATAATATTGTTGATATAGTTTCCATGTAAATGTTAATTGCATTTTCTCTTAGAAGGAGAACTTCAAAGTTCTGGATGGTGAAGCAAAATTTTCTTCTATTCTATTTTATCCAAGAAACACTTCTTGTTTTTACTTCAAATTTTTTCTACCATTGCTGCTTTAGTACTGGCTTGTATATCTAACAGAGCATGCTCATGTGCAGGCTATATTTCCTCGGATATTTGGTCATGAAGCATCAGGGTCAGTTCTGCACCATTTTGGTTTTAAGCGTTCTTTGCAAGTCCCTGTATTCAGTTAAACTTCAATCTGATGCTGTATCTGTTCGAACAAATGTTCTAGAAAATTAAGTAAACCATAATAAAGATTTGACACACTATGGCTTAATGCACCACATAAGGTCTGCCACAGCAAACGAAGTCAAATAGAGCTTCACTAGAATTTCTGAGGTTTTAAAAATCAAGGATATCATTACTGTTTTTCTTTATGATTATATTAACTGTCATATGGTGTCATTACACAGTTGACAAAAGAAACCGGCATTAAAGTTTAGTGTTGTTTTGCAGGATTGTTGAGAGTGTGGGCGAGGGAGTGACTGAATTTGTGGAGGGGGACCATGTGCTTACAGTATTCATTGGAGAATGCAAGACATGCAAGCACTGTGCATCTGGTAAGAGTAACATGTGCCAAGTCTTGGGTTTGGAAAGAAGAGGTGTAATGCACAGTGATGAGAGGACACGCTTCTCAGTTAAAGGGAAACCTGTTTATCATTATTGTGCGGTTTCAAGTTTCAGTGAATATACAGTTGTGCACTCTGGATGCGCTGTCAAAGTTAGCCCACGTGCACCTCTGGAGAAAATATGCCTACTGAGTTGTGGAGTAGCTGCAGGTAAACAAACTTTTAGTATAATATTGCTAAAGTCATTGTGCAGCTTTATCTTTATGTTTCAAGGATGAAGTAGCAGGAACATATGTTGAGACCTTTACAAAGAGCTAATGCTTGAATAAAAGAACAAAAGTCTTTGGGGTTCCATGGGTTTCCTTAGCTAACTAATATACTCTTGAGCATTATAAGTTTGTTTCATTTGGATGCAATTCGCCACCATAGTTGACTACACTTGACACTCAAGTCTATGGTTTTAGGTCTTGGTGCAGCTTGGAATGTTGCTGATATATCTAAAGGATCAACTGTGGTGATTTTTGGTCTTGGAACTGTGGGCCTTGCTGTAAGTATAAGTAGAGTACTTAGTAACAAGCTCAATGCTTTAATGATATGTCCTCCACATTTGCTCCATTTTGATCAATTATAGCAAAGATTCTATGATTAGGTTGCACAAGGTGCCAAACTTAGGGGAGCATCTCAAATAATTGGTGTGGAGACTAATCCTGAAAAGTATGAAAGAGGTAATATAAATATTTCACCTCCAACTTCTGTTTTGAGTCTTGAGCCTGTTGAAAATTGTCTAAAACGATGTGTGGTTATGTTTACAGCAAAGGCTTTTGGAGTCACAGAATTTTTGAACCCCAAGGACTATAAAGAACCTGTTCAGCAGGTATTCATTCAAAGAGCAACAAAATTCATAAAATTTCTTTTATAATAATGTTGAATACATATCCTTATAATGACATTCAAAAGGATGTATGATAACATTTGAAATACGGAACATCATTACTGATTATGCCTCTTACAAGTCGTATACTAGCTAGTTTAAGTTTGCTGCAGAAACTTGCATATATACATATATATATATATATATATATATGTATGTCCATGTCAGCCATGCATGTACACGCACAGGCAAACTAAAAAGAAACAGTACTGAAGCCTTAGACAATGCAATGAGAAACTAAAATTCAATTGATTTGTTTTTCTTTTTTCCTTTTTTTTTTTGAGAATTTCAGGTTATTAAGCACATATCTGGTGGAGGGACAGATTACTCTTTTGAATGCATAGGTGATACTGGAATGGTAGCTACCGCATTGCAATCATGCTGCGATGTAATTTCTCTGCATACGATTTGTTATTTCTCTTTTTTGGAAGATTCACCAAACTGAAAATTTCTGGTCCTCTGTTATCCCATAGGGATGGGGTTTGACAGTTACTCTTGGTGTACCAAAAATGAAGCCTGAAATAGCAGCTCACTATTCAGCATTTCTTTCAGGAAGAACATTGAAAGGATCTCTATTTGGAGGATGGAAACCTAAATCTGATCTTCCATCATTAGTAGAGAAGTACATGAACGAGGTAAGAATTGCAGCAGAACTTCCTATAGGATTGATGCGTAGTTATTGCAAGTAGCATTGTTATTGGTTTTTCCATTTTTCATTTATTTTTTGGACTGTGCTATGTTTTTGGGTTCTAAAGCACCACTCATCAGTAGTGAAAGTATAGACCATATATATCCTTTCCCATATATTCCACACAGCTCCCACTAGTAGCCATATAGTTCCTTGATTTGCATAGGATAGGTTCATATCTTGAATGGATAATGTGTTGCCTACAATCAAAATGGTGGTTGAAAATTGCACAAGGCCCTTGCAGCGGATCTTGACATTTAGTTTTGAGGGGGCCAATTCAAACTATATATTATTTTTAATTTAGAGTATTCTATTTTATTTACTAATATAAAAAATATATGCAAACAATATATTAATAAAATAAAATCTCATAAAATTATAAGTTTTATCAATTTATAAATAGATTAATTAATTTAATTTTCATAATAAAATCTCAACAAGCATAATTGTCAAGTTTTGTAAAAGAAGAATTATTTATATGTAATGACAACTCAATTTTATAGTACTATAACAAAAATTGAGAAAGAATTATCCCAAACTTTTGACAAAAACACAAAAAGTTTAAGATTACTGATATAAAGACAAGAATATATACATTTATTTTAAAAAGCAAAGCTTAACATCAATTTTATAGCTCTGTAAAAGTGGCTGTCAAGAATGGCAACCTAAATGATTAAGTAAAACACATTGAAAACGGTCACAAAGATACAGAACAAAATTGAAATATATAAGAAGAGTAGTAATAGGTAAAAGGAAAAATAACACACATTGTAGTACTTAGTTGTAAATAAACTTGTTCAAGGGTTGGGTTATTTGTCCAAGCTTTTCTAAGTTTTGAGAAAGTGTGGATAAAAAATTAAAATTTATTAAACAAGTTTGGGTATAATTTTTAGATCCGTTTGAATTTCAGATCGAGTCTTGGACAAAAAAATTAAAACTCGAGCCCGACCTGATCCAACCAAACCCAAATAAACATATATATATATATATTTTTATTATAAAATTAAAAATAAAAATTATATATAATATTAAACTTAAATTTATTTTTATATAATTTTTATTTTTAATTTATATATAAATGTGAATTGAATATAATCTCATTAAACTTTATTTAACCACATCTTTAAAAATTTTTATTATATAAATTTAGTTTAATGGATGAGTTTAGGATTTATTTTTTTAATTTGAGCTAGATTTGAAAAAATTTTGAGACTCAAAATATTGAGTTTGGTCATATTTGATTAAGTATATAACTATTAATATCAAATATAAGTTCAATCTGAACCTGACCCAGTTCGACCCATAAAACACTTCTAGTTGTAAACTTAAGAGTTCTTATGAGAAAAAAAATAGGCAAATAACAATGGAATTTTAACTCATAAATTACAATTCATAAAATTAAGATACACACAAAAATAAATAAAATTAGCATTAATAGTTTTAGTTTGAGGATTCAATTCATATTTGTTTAATATAAATATATAATTAAGTAACGGGTTTTCCAAAATTTTGGATAATCCGCCGTTGCAAGGGAAAAAAAAAAGACAAATAAAATGGTAAAATTAGCATTAGCAAAGCCTGTTAAGCAATTACTAACTTGGATTATAAAGCAAAAGAGATAAACCAACATTTTATTAATATTTTAGCATAAATAAATAAATAAGAACGTTTGGTAATTTCACTTTTTTGTTCATTAACCTCTTTTAAGTTGAAAACAACCGAGCAATTTCATGGTCATTCTTTCTTACATGGATGATAACATTTGAAAAGGAATCCCTTTGTTCAAATTAAAAAAAGAAAAAATTCAGTTAATGCATACCTATTTTAGGGTCTCCATACCTAAATCTTATTATGCATGACCTTTAAGATCTTACATAGAATTGGTCCTTCAGAGAAAATAATAGCTACTCATTATGAGATGAAAAGATCGAATCAGCGAAGCATTCATATATTATGCAAGTTTCTAGTCCATTGGTGCTCAAGATTGTATTAGGAAAATGTTCATATGCACAACATAGGTGCTTTAATATGAACCTTTTCTTCCCAGGGTTGTGCATCGCTAAAACATCCCGCAAGCTTGCTACAGGCAACCATGGCTATTTATGTTTTTCATCAGATAGAAAAAATTATGTGTTGACATAATAACTCTTGTCATAGGAAATCCAGGTGGATGAGTTCATCACACATAATCTGGCATTTGAGGATATCAACAAAGCATTCAGTTTGATGAGAGAAGGAAAATGTTTGCGATGTGTTATTCACATGCCAAAGTAGCTTCCATATATGGCTGGGGTTGTCAAGTGTGCACAAATAAATGTGGAAGCAAACATGATCTATTCTGTGTTTGATGCTGATTTACTTGGGTATTTATTGTGAAGAGAGAGATTTGCTTATCTTAATTATCCGTTTATTTTTTCCCAAACTAAGGTTGTTTGCAATCTTATTTTCCAAACTAGAGTTCATTTAAACTTTATTTCTAAACACATGTAATTTGAAACAATTAAATTTCATATCAACATTTTATTTATATATCCTGATTGAGCTTGGAATAGCTCAGTTGTAAGTCTTGACTGAAGCTTTTAATTCCATCGTACTAGTGAAAATTTCCTTGAAGTCCTTGGCAAAGGTTGTCAAAATAGTGGATGTAGGTCAAAGGGAACAGACCACTGTATATATATAGATGTGTATGATCTTCTTCTCCATCATCTTTATTTAGAGAAATCTGCTTTTTACTCTAATTTTTGCACTTACAACATTTTAAACCTTTCAATCTTCATTTTACTTTCACAAAATGTCACTCCCTCTAATATTATTTACTTGAGGCAAACAATGATGTAGCTTAGAATAGCTTAGTTATAAAAATAAATTTAAAACTACTTTTATAAGAATAAAATTTTTAAAATTCCTTAGAAAAAAAAAAAAAAACTCAATTACAATCTTCCTTAGATAGTTTCATAATATATATTCTTTTGTTAAAAATGTTATTCAAACCTCACCTTGAATCCACTTCTTAAAAAAAAATTGATAAATCATTTAAGTTAAGCACAAGTTCATAAACTATAACACTTGAAAAAAATAATTTATATTGAAATAATATTTTAACGAAATCTATCATGATCACAAAAATTTATAATCTAAAATTTAACAGAACTTTAGTATTATTTATGGATAGTCACTAAACTTATACTTTTTTTTTTTTACTTTCCTTGCTCACTTTTAATTTTGTCGCCAATTTCGTCACTAAATTTTTTAAATTGAGTAACCAATTAAACAATCATGTTATTTAAAAAATTTGTTAAAAGTTTTTTTTCTCTTATCTGTTTTCTCTTTTTTTTTTCTTCATTATTTTCGTTGGTTTTCATTTGTTTTCTTTTTATTTATATTGATTAGTATTTAATTAAATAAATTACATTTTAATCATTTTATTACTTTTCAAAAAATAGACCTTTTTGAAAAAATCATAACCTTTTATTGTATAAAATACTTAAATAAATGAACTCTTTCAGTAATATAGACACCAAAATGAATAAAAGTAAAATATATTATTGATCAGTTAATTATAATTATATTTTTAAAATAATCACTTAATTATTAATTTTTTATTTAATCAATTAACTTTGAATAAGTATTTTTTATCACACAGTTACTAGTTCTAGTCCTTAATGATATGCTGATTTGATATTATTATGCCAACTATCAAGTGTTACATACTCCTATCCCATTATTTTTACATCAGTTATAATATATTATGTAACATATCAAATGATGTGATGGTGTCATGAGATATATAATTGCTAACATAGCAGTATTACGTCAGCATACTCATAGAGATTGATCACTTACTGATAAAAAACGTTTTTTTTTTTCAAATTTAAGTGATTAAATTGAAAGTTTTAATAATTAAATGATCATTTTAAAAACACCCATATAATTGGGTGACTAAATGTGCATTTTACCCAATTGATAAATATATATATAATGGCATGAAGGTGAGAGACGAGGCGCAGTCTTTCCCAAGCATTCTCCCGTTCTGCGTCTGCCAATAGTTGTCTTACATAATTTGCCAAAGGTGACTTTTATTATAAATATAATTTTTCTTTATGAAATTCGAAATAGGGTAGCAATCATCCAAAGTAATTATTTGTGTAGATTTCAGAAAAATAAGCATTTGGGATTGGGATTTGGAGTTTATTGATTATGTGCTGTCGGTGAAACAATTTTATAAACCCTTAAGAGTACAATTTGCGAATGAACGCCGAAACCAAATTTGACTGTTCTGTTTACACTTCAAAATTTGTGTTCTAAGCTCTATTTTTCATCTCAACACTTGTCATTTCGGATTATCTTTGTTTTTGCTATTTGCTTTTTCACTTTGTGAAGAATTGTTATAAGATAAAACCCAACGGTCATAATAATTGATTGATAATGTATGAGGAAATGGTTAAAATATAACTTTGAATTCAACGTAATTGGTTTATTGGGCAGTGATGTAAGACATATTGTTATCTAAAACTTTTTTTGTGTGTGATAATATTGCTTGCTTTTTGTATCAAAGCTTTTCATTTTATGCTTCTGAGAACGATATGAAGTTGTAAAATGAACAACCAAGTGGAGTCCTAGCTATTATGGGTTTTCTTTTGTGAAGTTAATAAGATTAAGATGCCTAGATTATTTATTTATTTATTTTGGGTTTTTTTTTTTTCAGCTTTTCAATATGGAAGAGGCTGCAAAGACGGCAAGAGAATCCCTGGACCTGGCATTTCACATCTCAAACATTCTTGATACTGGTGTTGATCGGCATACCCTCTCAGTTCTCATTGCACTTTGTGACCTGGGTTTGAACCCTGAGGCATTGGCTGCTGTTGTTAGGGAACTTCAGGTAGAACCCTGTCCCTTGCCCCCAACACCAACTGCCCCATCATCAGTTCCTTAAACAGGTTTGTAGTGCCCCCTCAGTTTTTAAGATCGATCTGGGAGACTCTCAGGTGACTTTTGACTACTGTTGTAGCAAGTCTTGTTCGTACCACAGGGAAAAGGAAAGGGAGCAATACATGTAATTTAATATTACTTTCGCCATTCTCAATATTGTCCAACGTTAATAGATATATCAATTCCAGGTTCACCATCAATTTCATTAAATCCACTTCCCGTATCTTCTTCTAATAGTCTATGGTGGAGCCTAGTTTAGTTTGTTAAGTTCCTACTTTTTTTTGTGACATGTTCGTAGTAGTTAATTTTTTACATCCAATCTGAGTATGTACAAAGATGTATTCCAGTTAGAGCCTCTTAAGAGGTCTCAGAATTCTAGATGTTTTATGAGCTTGCAAGCTACAAATGTAAACTACCAATCATCATGATTTGTCTGTGACTAATTTTTCTAACGGTTGTCATTGGGTTCCCATTCAGGGATCAGGTCTCTTAACATGCTATGGGATAAAATAATTTAATGGCTTTCTTCCCTCATTTCTTATGATTCTGAAGCCATATGGTATTTCTGGTGACCTTTGGCCTGAGATCTTGGGTTCAAGTCTAAGCAGTGGTTAACATGCTATGGCATTAAACATTCAATGGTTTTTTTCCCTCATTTCTTATGACTCTTAAGCCATATGGTATTTTTTATGACCTTTGATCTGAGATCATGGGTTCAAGTCTAAGCATTGGTCTATGTGTTGCTCAACTAATGGGGAGAAAGGCTATACCACATTTATGAATGCTAAGTGTAGACAGCCATGATTGTCAGTAAATTCTAATCTCAAGTATTTGATGTGTAAAATGGTATGCAAAAGCTCTATTGTTATTAGTAAATGGCAATTGACATCTATTGTTAGTCACTGGGGTGAATATTAGAGGAGAATGGAACAGAGAGAGTGAGGAAACATAGTGTAGATAGGAGGTACAGAACATTTAGATGTCTAATATAATATCTAAACTATTGGAATATGTATGACACCCTTTGCAAAACTAATCCCTTAAAAGCTACCCCTATAAATATTTTATTGATGGAACACCAAACCAAGCATTGGTATTTGTCACCTGTCCACTTTTGGTTTTGAGAAATATATGGGTGACCGAGCAAGGTTCATGTAGTTTTATGAGAGTTTCTGGATATCAGTCAATGTAGCATTTGGATAAATATAATCTGCAAGTGCATGCAGACGTAGTATACTAGTATGTACTCCATTATTTCTCTGCTGTGTATTAAGCTAGATAAACAAGCGACATTATATGAAGGATGGAGGTATTTGCTGGATAAGAATATGTGCTCCTTCATGGTAGCTTGCCTGTTCTCTGTTTATTAATCTAACAGAGAATCCTTTTGAATACCAATGTCATTTCATCCATGCTTGGTACAATATATACCCAAGAAATATATTCTGATTTTCATGGAATTGTACTATTATTTTGTTCCTTACTGCTTTTGTGGCTTTAAATATAGCATGTTAATTTATTTTTCCTATTTCTGCAGCTCAAATATGTTAGGCATAAATGCTCCTATCCCATTACCCTCTATGGTTTATATGTTGACATTTCCTTGCCTGACCTAGACTCACTAAATTAGAATGCAACAGCTGAAGTAGTTCTTTTCTGGACAACTACTACTGCTCAACCGTGTATCAGAATAGTGTATGCATGATAGTTCTTGGTGCAAAATCATCACTATCTTTTGATCAATGTTGTGTCATTCGAGGTTCTTTGAATTCTTTTTCTGAACTTTTATGTGAATAAGTTCTGTTTGTAATTATTCTCAAGAAAATGATCGACATAGGTTCTCCCATATGTCATTTTGTTAGAATATGAGCTACTTACATAATGTATCTCTTTTATGTTGAAACATATATAAAAGTTGTCAGATGTATGCTGGCAATATATTTGAATCAATTTGTGCAAAATATAATTTATCAATGATGCAAGTGGTCTGTGGTTCTGCTTTTGCAGTTTTTCATGATTCTGGATTGTTTTAAACCCTTCAGCCATCCATCCATTGTTCAAAGTACTGTGTCCAACCAATAGTACAGGATGTTTTTTAGGAGCTAACCTATGTAAATGGCATCTTCCATCTTCTACTAAAGCTATAGAGAGAAGCAAACTGTGCGGCTTTTTGGCAAAAACAGAAGGCTGAGGGTTCGGGGATGGTTGTGCAACTACAGTGTAATCTGGTGCGGTGGGGGTGGACTGATGGAACGGTAGCTAGTTGGGAGTGTTGGGGCAGTGGTGAGAAAGCTACTGCACATCAATCGCCATACTAGCACAGCATATGCTCTGATAAGGACAGTTGGGACAGCTACTCAACATTCTGTTTTTCCCAAACCTACACCCAACCATTGCTTTCTTCTAGCAATATTCTTTGCAGCAATTTAGCCACTCAACTTGCACTATATATACATATATATATATATATATATATATTTTCCTTCTGCAGAATTCTTGCATGAATGAGCATGACAAGGATACGAAAATCTGTACATCTAAAGACAGCAAGGTATTTTGAGACCAAAGCGAACACAAAGCTAGAAAAAAAGGAAACCGGTTAGAAATCATTCAAGTCATTAGTTGGATTGCAGAATAAGATATTGTAGCTGATTCTTATACTCTTTTGTTTGCTTCATTCCCCAAAAATTGACTGTTCCAATTCTTCTGTTCTTGGTGGACGTTTGAATTTTATTAGCTATATATTAAAGTATATAAACAAATTTTTTATGGTTTTTTAAAGTTTCTCTTTCGTCGGATGTTAGAATTCTTTTAGTATTGTTTCATGAATGAATAAATAGATCCTAAATATGAACTATGAATTTCATATTTATTATATATTAGAGTTTGATTTGGAATAAAAATATTCGCATAAATTTTAACTTTTGAGATAAAATTTTAAATCTTAAATTACAATACCGTATAAATTGGTGTAGATTGTGATACATAACATCCTTGTTTAACTTCACTTTTATTGGACTTTTGGTAGAGAATAAACTTATTATTCTGCTGTCTTTTAAGTAAGAATGCATGCTTTTGTTTTTCCAATTTTTAGTTTAGCATGTGTTTGTTTGGAAACAAAAAATTCAGCCAAAAAGAAGGAATCAAATCGAGGATCGATTCCAATCGCTTTCAATTTCAACTTATAGGCCAATGGCCATGTTGATATTCTTTCTCATTTATCGACTAAATTAAGTTAAATTCAGCCAATATTCTGTAAATGTGAACTTGGATATATAAATAAATAAATATATATATAAACCAGACAAATATTGTTAAAAAAAAAAAAAAGAAGAAATGGAGGGCTGAAAATCAAGCAAAAATTTGACAACTCAAAGCTGATTAGGTCTTGCAAAAAAAAAAGGACATTAGGCAGCTGTATTTGGCTTCATAGTCAAGCCATGTTCGCTACTAAAATTATCTGCCAGCACAAGAAACATGTACGGTAGCCTTAAGAGAGATATTTCGAAGATAAAGCCTCGTGGAAGAACAATATAGAAAGGCTTGACGTTTCGGTAAGAGCAGTACCATAAAATGTTTGGTTGGCTCAATGGAAAGACAAAATTTTCCAATGCCTTGTCTGTAAGTGCATGCTCTAGCAGATAATCTTTTGTTCAAATCAAACCTCTTGCTTCTATATCGATTTCGAGATTTTCATTTGTCTTTCCTTTTTATTTCTTTTCATATATAGATTGTTGAGCTTTTGGTACATATGGATTGTGAAGGATGCCAAAAGAGGATACGAAGAGCAATCTCAAAAATTGATGGCAAGTGTTTATTTTTATGTTTTTCTTATCTGCATTTCATCTAAATCACTCAAATTTTTAAAAAGTATTGAGTGTCGGATATGAATATGTGTTTGACATAAATACGTTTATTTTTTAAAAACTTTCAATTCATGTCTGTTGGACTTGTCAAATACTTCAAAAAATTATTTATTAACTGCTTAGAAAAATATATGGCAGCAGCAGCAGCTGATTTTCGAAGTTGATTGAAATGAATGGCAGGAGTAGATAGCTTGGAAATCGACATGGATAAGCAGAAAGTAACAGTGACAGGATACGTGGATGAGAGGAAGGTGCTAAAAGTAGTGAGGAGAACAGGAAGGAAAGCAGAGTTGTGGCCATTTCCATATGACAGTGAATACTATCCATATGCATCCCAGTACTTGGATGAATCGACATATGCATCTTCTTATAACTACTACAGGCATGGCTATAACGAAAGCGTTCATGGATACTTCCCAGACCAAGCTTACTCAACTGTTCCTGATCAAACTGTCCATCTCTTTAGTGATGACAATGTTCATGCTTACTGCAATGTTATGTAACTGATCACCACTGCTCATTTGAATAATTGCTCATAAATTATTGATGGTAAAAAGTAAAAACTACAATATGGTAGAATTCAGTCAATAACTTCCAATACAGAAGATGGTTAGACAGGTTACAATTGATGTTCGTCCAACTCTTTGGTAAGATGAGAGCAAATATAGTAGGAAAATTGGATCTCTTCTAATAAAGAATATACGAATATTTATTACATTATTTTTAATATATTTTTAATCATCATTTATTAGAATACGAATTTCATAATAAGAAAATGTTTGACGTGGATCTATCATTCTCTTTCTCAAATGGAATAAGGGACGCATCTCAATCATAAATTTTAAAAGTTGTAAGCATCTAACTTGTTTACATAATTATAATTATTTGGATCTATAGTAAGATTAGTTTCAATGCAATTAAAAATAACGATGATCAAGAACGAAGTCAGCATCATGATATTGGGGATTAAGTATTAAGTCAACAATAAATTAGATTAGAAGGGATGTTAAGAATGAAAATAACAGTGCCAAAACAATAATTTTAAGGCTATCAAAAAATTTTGGGGGGCTATCTGTCCCTTTAGATTCACCTCTGATGGTGGTAATGATACATTAATAATAAGTAAAATATTTTTATAATTAAATTAATATATGACACATTAACATATATAAGTGATATATTATCAATCAATCATATAATTTTATCTCATTAATAAAAAAAATAAAAAGTAATAAAGTGTTTAAAAATAAATTTAATGTTTATTTAAGTTTAATTAATTACTAAAAATAACTTTTTTTAAAGATTTAATTATTTTTAATTATACTCATTAATGATGTAATTGTTCATTAACTATTTATAAAACTTACTGTACTGTACACTACAGGCATTAACTCTTCATAATTTATGAATTTACGAATAACATACCAGCGGTAATAATTAAATGATTATGAGCAAGGTTATAGGTAAAAAGAAACGGAGTAAAATTTAAATGAAGTTATTGGGGTAAAATTTGTGAATTTTTTTAAAAATAATTTAATAAAATTTTTAATAAAAAAATTAAATCAATAAATTAATAAAATTTAATATAAAAATTAATAATATATAAAAATATATATTAAAAATATTATTTATAATTTAAATTTTATTGATACTTATTTAATAATAAAAATTATATTAATATTTTTATTAAAAATATTTATCTAAAATTATATATTAAAATTAATTAATTTTTTTTTAAAATTTTACATATTTAATTTATGTACTAAAACTTTTTAATTTATAAATTTTAATTTATAATTTTAATTTTTATTTAACTATTTCAAGTGATGAGTTTCACACATTTCACCCATTCGTCTTTCCCAAAGAAACGATAAGCGGGGTGGACGATGTTTCGTTGTTGGCCGGAATTGACCTGAGGTTTTTATTTGGAGATAGCAAGCAAGCATGAATTGCCCGAAAGCCAAAAGCTCAAGAGCCCCAACTTCAAATCCCCTTCCATCCATGTTCCCTCCATTTCCCCTAAATTAACAAATTGTTACTATAATAAATGAACCATAAGAAACTGCTGCTTTCAGTCCTAGAAAAATGTCCAAATCTTAAAAACCTGAAAAAAATCCATGCCCTCGCAACAACACTAGGACTACTGCAAAACCACAACCAAGCCTTGTCGTGCAAAATTCTCACCATCTACGCCAATCTAAACATTCCAAATGATGCAAACAAAGCCTTCAACCAAATCCAACACCCAGACATAGTATCGTGGACATGTCTCATTAACATTTTCTTACAATACAAAAATCCCGTCAAATCCGTCTTAGCCTTCTCCCAGTTGATACGTAACGGTTTAAGACCCGACAGTTATTCTGTCGTTGCTGCCGTGTCAGCCTGTGGTAAAATTAAAGATTTGGTCCATGGGATGTTAATTCATGGAATTGTTTTGAAATATGACTTGGGTTTTAAGAACCCAATTGTTGGAAATGCTCTTATTGATATGTATAGTAGAAATGGTGAAATTTTATTGGCCGAAATAGTGTTTGAGAGGATGTTTGTTAAAGATATTGCTTCTTGGAATAGTTTGCTGAATGGGTATTTTTTGTGCAATGATTTGGAGGCTTCTCGCGGCGTGTTTGATAAAATGCCGGAGAGAAATGCAGTTTCTTGGACCGCTTTGATATCTGGGGTTGTAAAAGGGAAGGAACCGTTGGTGGGAATGAAGCTTTTTAAGGAAATGAGAAGCGAAGGAAAAGTTAATCCCACTATTGTTACCGTTGTCGCTGTTCTTTCTGGTTGTGCTGATAGCGGTGCTCTGTATTTCGGTAGGAGTGTTCATGGTTATGTTAATAAAGTGAATTTGAATAAGAAAATTGTTGTTCTAAGTAATGCTTTGACGGATATGTATTCAAAATGTGGATACCTTGATGTTGCTGGGAAGATTTTTAATGAAATGGTGGAAAAGGATGTGTTTTCTTGGACTATTATGATAACAGGATATGCATTTCATGGGAAAGGAAAACAGGCTTTGCAGCTATTTTCTGAAATGTTAGAATCAAGGGTTGCTCCAAATGAGGTGACCTTTTTGTCTGCCCTATCAGCTTGTGGCCATGAAGGGCTGCTTGTTGAGGGGCAGAAGGTTTTTAGAAAAATGGTTCAATGCTATGGTTTTAAACCCAAGATTGAGCATTATGGATGTGTTCTGGATCTTCTTGGCCGAGCTGGGCTTTTAGAAGAAGCAAAGATGTTAATTGAAGAAATGCCCATTTTGCCAGATGCTGTTATTTGGAGGTCATTACTTTCTTCTTGTTTAATCCATGGGAAATTAGATTTAGCAGAGGTGGCAGGAAAGAAGGTTATTGAACTAGAACCAGATAATGATGGGGCCTATGCACTTTTGTGGCATATGTATTCTAGCACAAATAGGCGCGAAGATGCTATGAGGATTAGGAAGTTGATGAGAAATCAAAAAGTTAGGAAAAGACCTGGATGTAGTTGGATTGAGGTGAATGGTATTGTTCATGAATTTCTTGCTGAGGATAGACCACATCATTTTGGCAGTGACATTTACTTGATTCTAGAAGGCATCAGTGAACAATCATAACTGAAAGGAGAATTTCTTTGGTTAGAGTTGGAATTGTTCAATACTCCAAGCTGCTACTTTCTTTGGCTCTTATCTTTTGGGTGGATGGATGGTGAGGAAGGCTTTGCAAAAGGCTTTAAATTCACAAGAAACCTGTCCACTATCAGGTATGGCCCATACTTATCATGTTTCTGTTCAGAAGAATTAGCAAAACTTATAATGAGGAAAACTTGATGCTCAATGCAGATCCATCAAAACAAAAGAAGGGAAATGCTAGAATTGTAAACTAAATGAAGCATGAGGTCAGTCACTGTTATTGCTAACATATTGCTTGTTTTTGTATTTGACAGAATCACTTAACTTTTTGTTTTTTTATAATTTGATTTTACATTCCAATTTTTAATTGGTTCTCTTTTTTGTTTGATCTGATTAATTTCATGAAGCAAAATCTTAGCTAAAAATTTTGGGCCAATGTTTGAAGTCCCGTTATATATTTTCATCATTCAATTTGTTAAAAAGTATTTTTTTTCCCCTAAAATCTTTTTTCTCTTCAATTTAATCTCTCTTCGTTATTATTTTCTTATTCCCTTTAATTTCAGTCTCTTTCCTTTTCTTTTTGTCAAGTGCCTTATGCAAGGCAGTATATTGTTTGTCCATGCTATATCGAATAGAGACTCTATAGTAGCAGACTTATTAAGCCAAGTACATTTGATTTTGCTTCTAAGCTCGGACACAGTTGGCCATTTCTTTTCCCATCCTTTCCACTAATCTGGGTGGTAAGCTACAGGCAAACAATCACTGGTCAATCAAGGCTAACATATGGCAGAGAGCCAGAGACAATAAAATTCTTGAGCTATCAAACAATTCTCTTTGCAACTAATGCATTTTAAGATCTCTTTGGCCTCTCTTTAATTATGTAAATTTCAATTGCATAGGGACGATGTTCTGTTTTTGGATTTTAATAAACACTTGATTGTTAATTATGCTTTAGTGCTTTGGCTTCTTAACTCAGTGCAGGATCTTGATCTTCTCAAGTTGCTTATAGACCCTTCGTTTTTTTTTTAATTCTGTCTTATAAGGGATCATCGGCTGCACTAGAGGAAAAAGAAGATATCGCCTCACTCGAAGCCCATTTTTGAGCACTGTCTATTACACTGATCTCGCTCCCCTTGGTTCTTCTTCCTGGTAGAGTACTACTTTATCTAAGCAGATGTCATGCTAAGAATGTTGGAGAAAGTTGTAAAGGGTAAAAACTGAGCCACACATCCCTGATGATGAGCTAGACTTCCTTTTCTCCCAAGTGACCTCTGCTCTTCTTAATCGAACGTGTCTGACACATTTCGAATTTTCAATATGCAAATTTCTTCTGGATTCATCTAAACATAGGTTTTAGTAATGATTTCAAATTAGGTACAATTGCGATGACACACTCTACTGTAATTTATTCTTGTTTTCTGAACAAAGCAGAAGGAGGGTTACTTCATCAAACCCCTCTTCACTATCTACTCTAATCTTCCCGTCTTTTCCTCTCTGTCTCCCAAGTGGATTGCAGCCCTCCTTTCCCACCAAACTCCCAAATCCATGCTGGCCTGCTTATTAGCCTTAATAGGAGATTAATGATGGTAAATTTGGCATTCATGTTGAACTTGGACCAAATATCTTATGTCAGGAATGTAATTTTTTATGCCCAAGTCAGATTTAATATTGTCTCTTGTTGGCTTGAACTTTTCAAACATGCCTTGAGTCTTCATGTTAGTTATTACAATAAGGACAATGCATTCAAGTTTACGGTATCGTAGGTGGGAGGATAACGGGTTATGACTTTCAACATTTCACAATGTATTTGATTTTGCTAAAATCTTAATCTACCGACATGGCCACAACTTCATAGACAGTTTGATAATGAAAAAATTTGCAGCCATTGATTGTTAACTAATATTGTGAACAGGGCCAATACTCATGACTTTCTAATGTATTTGGTCTCCTGATCTTATCTGCAACAAATTATCATCACGTAATGATCAGAGGATTGAGAGGTTGACGTGGCTGGCTCTCATCATCTTGGAAGATCAATCTTATTTATGAAGCAGGTTCTAGATCAGTCCAGGTTTTCTGTATTTGATGATTCAAGTTGTAAAGCTTCACCCGCAAATTAATCTATATCTTGTTTAAGGACACATGGCAAATAAGATATAAAATAAATATATAAATATAATATGATTTAAATTTTATTAAAAATTATATATGATTTAATAAAAACAAAAAAATTAATTTAATTTTTTTGTATTGATATAAATTGTAATATATAATTTTTATATAAAATATCATATAAAATATAATTTTTGTATAAAATATTATATGAATATATAAATGACCCGATTTATTTAAAGTGAGATTATGCCCTATTACCACACCCTACAGCTTTTTTTTGGTTTTAAAAAATCAAGCTTAATGTTTGTACAAGGACAAGAGCCCCTTCTATTTTGCAAATGAAACGAAATAAAATGGTTTTCAAGTTGACCTATGGCCATCATCCATTTCTATAATGAGGTTGAATACATTAAATTTTATATGAAATTTTTTAATTAAAGTTTGTAAAGTTTTTTTCTTGAAAATGATTTAATAAAATTTTTAATACAAAATTTAAATTGATAAATTGATAGAATTAGATGTAAATATCAATAATATGAAAAAAAAAATATTAAAGTTATTATTTTTAATTCAAATTTAATTAATATTTTTTAATAATAAAAATTGTCAATATTTTTATAAAAAATATTTATCTAAAAATATATATCAAAATTTATTAAATTTTTTTTAAAATTTACTTACTTGATCTATATAACAAAAATTTTTTAATTTTAATTTTAATTATTTTTAATAAAAAATTTTCCAAACTGCATTAAAAAATTTTATCTAACTTACCAATTTAGAATAGCATCAAGAGTTTGGTCAAAAAACCGCGGCTGTCTTGCCCCACACTCCTTAAAGTTCTTTGCCTCTGAATAATCTACCCGCTGCCTCTACCTCTATAAATTTGTATCGGCTATGAGGCTATCAAGGCACAAACAGAAGCAAGATAACACAACACAATGAAGACTACATTATTTCTAGCATTTTCTTTCCTTCTTTTTGGCTCAACAATAGCCGATGATGAACTTGACCCAGTGCTTGACATCTCAGGTCAGGAGCTCCGAACAGGCACTGATTACTACATTTTGCCGGTTATCCGCGGCAGAGGTGGTGGCCTAACTCTTGCTAGCACTGGCAACGAGACCTGCCCGCTTGATGTTGTTCAAGAGCAGCACGAGGTGTCAAACGGTCTCCCATTAACATTTTCACCTGTGAATGTCAAGAAAGGTGTTGTACGTGTGTCCACTGATCTAAACATCAAGTTTTCTGCTGCTACAATTTGTGTACAATCCACTGTCTGGAAGCTTGACAACGATGAATCCATACAAAAACTGGTTGTGACAACCGGTGGAGTTGAAGGCAACCCGGGGTCTGAAACTCTCAGCAACTGGTTTAAAATCGAAAAATTCGAAGATGACTACAAGCTTGTTTTCTGCCCAGGGGTGTGCAATAACTGCAGACCTGTATGTGGGGATTTGGGTGTTTTCATTGATGACGGAATCAGGCGTCTGGCTCTCTCTGATGTGCCCTTGAAGGTTATGTTTAAGAGGGCTTGAACTTAAGTTGTGCCGATCAACATTGATTTCCTTGATTTACCCCCACATCCTTCTCACTTTTCAATATTACATATGTATGCTATAGCAATAAGATTTGAATAATGTAAATCTTGGGAAAGATTATAGTAATATATCACATACTAGTTGCAAAGTGCATAGAACTTGGCAGCAAGTTTGACAACTTGCAGACTTTCCAATGCTTTGTCATTGATTACGCTATATATAGATTTATATACCATTTCTTCGTCTAGGTTCAGAAAGTCGTACTTGTATTTATTCAGAAGAAGTGTGTGTAGTTTGGGGATTGTTGGTTTTCATGCATGATAATCTTTTCACATTCAAACTATAAAGCTATATATACACATTTGATCAATTATCTATTGCTAGTTCACTGACAGCAAGCTTTTTGAAAACACCACATCTACATCTGGTTCTTCTCATTCCTCTTAGGGTTTTTTATTATATATAAAAGAAAAAAAAAGCGTACTTGATGCCCTTTTTTAGCAATGCTCATCATATGGATCATTCTCTCCATACTCTTGTTGATTTGAAAGGAAAAAAAAATCGGAAATCCAAATTCTTTTCTGAATAGAAAATAACATGCATTTAAAATTGAGCCAAATGCTCCCAATTCTTCTTTCTTAAGTAGTCTTACAAAATGTTAGAGAAGTGGTCAAAAAGCCAAATGCTTCCATTTCTTTATCTTTCTTCCTCTTTATCCTATACAAGATATCATGAATATTATCAACAAGATAGGATAAGATAAAATAATATTATGAATAAGATTAAATTAAATAATATCATCTTATATTATAATTGATGTGTACAAATATTAAGATACGATAATTTATTTATTGATCAAAATTATTTTTTTTCAAAATTTATATAATTTAAATTATTAATGTAATTTTTAAAAATATAATAAAAAATATAAGATCAATCTCAAAGATTAAAAATAATCATTTTTACTTTGATATGATTGAATCTCTCACTCTAAGTGCATAGAACTTGGCAGCAAGGTTTACAATTTGCGGACTTTCAGATGCTTTGTCATTGATTTTCCTATAGATTTATATACCATTTCTTCGTCAACGTTCAGAAAGTCGTACTTGTATGCATTCAGAAGAAGCATGTGTAGTTTGGGGATTGTTGGTTGCCATGCATGATAATCTTTTCACATTCAAACTATAAAGCCATATATACACATTTGATCAATTATCTATTGCTAGTTCATTGACGGCAAGCTTTTTGAAAACACCACTTCTACATCTTGATCTTCGCAATCCTGTTAGGGTTTATATTTATATATATATATATTTATATATATATATATATATAAAAGAAAAAAAAAGCGTACTTGATGCCGGTTTTTGGCAATGCACATCACATGGATCATTCTCTCCATACTCTTGTTGATTTGAAAGGAAAAAAAATCGGAAATCCAAATTCTTTTCTGAATAGAAAATAAAATGCATTTAAAATTGATCCAAATGCTCCCAATTCTTCTTCCTCCATAAAAGCAGTCTTACAAAATGTTTGAGAAGTTGTCCAAAAGCCAAATGCTTCCATTTCTTTCTCTTTCTTCCTCTCTATCCTATACAAGATATCATGAATAGTATCCATAAGATTAAAACAAGATATGATAAAATAATATTATAAATAAGATTAAATTAAATAATATTATCTTATATTATATTTGATGTATGTAAATATTAAAATAATTTATTTATTGATCAAAATTATTATTTTTTAAAATTTTTATAATTTAAATTGTTAATATAAGATCAATCTCATGAATTAGAAATAATCATTTTCACTTTGAAAAGATTTAATCATCTTATATTAAAAAGATGATTAATCTTTTTTATAATTTTATTATTTTTTTAAATACAAATTAAACATAATATAAACTGATTATCATTCTGTCATATCCATCATCCTCTACATCAAAAATTACTTTAATTTCTTATATACAATTCTTTATATGCCCTAAGATCCAGGTATCAAATCTCTAAAATTCAATATATTAGTGGTGCCATTCAAACCCTTTTTTTAGTGGAAATTAGTTATATTATTAAAAATTATTACAATATATCAAATTATATATATATATATATATATCTAGTACAGAAATCGATAAACAAGTGAAATAAATAAAGATAAGGGGTTTTGACTTTTGACCTTCTAGGAGAACATTTACACATCAAAGGACAAGGCGGCAACTTTCTTTATAGACAATTTATAACCCAAAAAAAAAAAAAAGAGAACTATTCTTATCAGTTTGACTTTCTAATAAATAAATAAGAGTATTTCTTCTCATTATGCTGACTATGATAAAGAATTGGTTCATGATTGCGTGGGCCGTCTCACTGTCGGTTCTTGAAGTTCAGCCTAATTCTATGACCAATTTTCTATATCCTCATTTCATGGATTCAAGCCCTAAATCTTTATGTGCATGTGCAAGTGTTTCTTTTCATGGGTTGGTCAAACAAAGCCAGCTCTATTCTGCCCCACGGTTCCTATGAACATCTTCAATCCAGGTCAGACACTCTTGAAAAATATATTATCAACTTGATCTTCTTCAGCTCTATAAATATGTTGTAGATTTGTGTGTCATTCAAAGCAGAAAACACCCACAAAATGAAGACTGCATTCTTCCTAGCACTTTCTTTCCTTCTCTTTACCAATGCTGCACCTGATCCAGTGCTCGACATCCACGGCAAAAAGCTCCGCACCGGCACTAACTACTACATCCTGCCAGTTTTCCGTGGTCGAGGGGGCGGCCTAACTCTGGCCAGCACTGGCAATGAAACCTGCCCGCTTGATGTTGTCCAAGAGCAGCTCGAAGTGTCAAACGGCCTTCCCGTTACATTTTCACCTGTTAACATTAAGAAAGGTGTTATTCGTGTTTCCACCGATCAAAACATCAAGTTTTCTGCTTCTACAATTTGTGTCCAGTCCACGGTCTGGAAGCTTGCCAATTTTGATGATTCAACACAGCAATGGTTCGTGACAAGCGGTGGGGTTGAAGGTAATCCAGGTCGTGAAACTCTTGACAATTGGTTTAAGATTGAAAAGCACGAAGATGATTACAAGCTTGTTTTCTGCCCAACCGTGTGTGATTTCTGCAAAGTTATATGTAGGGATGTGGGTGTTTATATTGATGATGCTGGTGTTAGGCGTCTGGCTCTGAGTGATGTGCCCTTCAAGATTATGTTTAAGAGGGCCTGAAAATTGAAATCCTACCTATTATATAATATTGATCTTAAACTTTGTTTCATCCTTGACAATAAGATTTCAAAACAATGTAAATCTTGGAAAAAAATTGTAATAACATCTCAACCTTTGCTTCTGCTGGGAGCTTGTAACATCGGCAGTAAATTTAACATTTTGATCGTTTCCAATGCTGCTCAATTCATTTTGATTGATATATATATATATATATATATATATATATATTACAAAGTATTCAATTTGTTACTATAAGTATGTGAAATATACTCTTAACCAATATATAAAAAATTAGTAATTATTTAATTATTTTTTTATTTTATTAAAATTTTCATTTATTTTATTTAATACACTATTATTAATTAATAAAACTAATTGTTTTATCTAATATTGCAATCTAATTGTTTCATATAAAATAAACAAAATTTTGTTATTTACTACATATGTCTTATTATTATTATTATTATTATTATTATTATTAAATTTTATTTATCATTTCAAATATCACATATTTGTAAAATTGTAATTATATCTCGTTTTTACTTGATACATTTACCGCATTGTCATTATTGTTTTATCAATTGCACTTTTATTTGATCGTTGATTGCGATGTCATTTTTGCAACTATTAGTCTCACTCATAAATTATCAATATTGCATTATTTTTAATCCGACCGTTGCGCTCTAGTAATATCTCAATATTGACATGACGCCTATTTACCTGGCGCACTGACTTTTCATTCAATAATTTTATTGCCCACTTACCGGTAAAAAATTAATTTAAATAATTTTCATTCAACTGATCAAAAAAATTCCAAAATTTCATGGATTTGAAAATTTTCTATTCAATTTCAATGTGTATCACATTAAAATTCTACATTAAATATTAAGCTCTTATATATTAACAATAGTAAAAAATTTATTCATGAAAATTTAAAAGGCATCAATTATTAGTTATGAATACGATGATTAATGTCTGTTAATTTAAATGATTAAAGAGTTCAATTTCTCTTAAATAAAATTTTAATTTTAAATTTTGTAAATAAAAAAAATAAGTGCCGAGGGAGTTTTATTTATCTTATGATATTCAATTTAATTTAATTTTAAATTTATTAGAGTCCAAAATAATTATTGAATATAAAAATTCTCAACCTAATAAAAAAAATAGTGATAGATCAAGAATCAAGAGATTATTCTATATTATTTTTATATGTACACTTAATTATTACAATCAATTATCTAATAAAATATGGATAGAAAGCTAGTAATTATCCAACCTAGCAAGAGAAACTTATATTGTAGAACTTTACATCAACGATGGACTAAAATGAGATTCTAAATGACATGTAGAAAAAGTTTGTAGTTGATGCAATGGTATATTATTAAATATATTATCAATAAATTATATTATATTTATTTATTAATAAAAAATTTTAAAAATTATACAATCAAAATGCAAGAAAATAATTTTTCTTAAAATTTACTTTTAATAATTGAATTATAATATTTATGAAATTCGAAATATTTTAGAATATTCATATACTATAATATAATGAGGAGGGATTAATTTATATAAGTATAAAATTAAAAAATTTTACATTTTCTTAATTATTAATTTTAATATATCCAAATGATGAAATTAGATCATTTTTTTAACTTATTTCTCTCATTTTGTAATTTTATTGAAATTAATAATTAAAAAATAAAATTTTTTTTATTTATATGAATATAAATTAATTTTTTTAACATAATATAATATAATTTAATATAATGTAATACGACGTCTATAAATCATGAGCCTAATTCACAATTTAAAAGATTTCTAATTAACATATATCTTCTTACAAGATTTGAAAATTCTGCTTCTATACTTTTTTTTTTCGGGGAAGATCATATTAATAAATAGTTAAAAAAGAGAAAGAACCGTAGGGCCAGAGTGTTCCTTTATTATTCGGCATGCATGTTTTGCACAAGGTTCCCTCTCCTAAGAAACTATTTAAATGATTGAATTTAGAGAGATTAAAAATTAAAATAATAATTATTATGATTATGATTAAAAAATTGATAAAATATTTATATTAAATAAATCTTATTAAAATTGATATTTAAATTATAAAAGTCTTAAATTCCAAAATAACTTTGTAATTATTCACTAAACTGACCGTAATATCCTTAAGAATACTGCAAAATCACAATAAAAAGGAAGGGTAAATATGAAAATAAGAAAAAAAAAATAACACTAAGAGAAGCGTCAGGTTTGAAACAGCAAAGAATCAAAGCCTCCTTCACTGCCCTTCCTTCTATGGTTTGTCTTTCTCTCTCTTTGTATTTACTTTTAAATTTCTTTTAAATGAATTAATTAATTTGAATTTATATATTTTAAGTAAGTGGAAAAAATAAGACTGGTTGTTGAAAATCACCTGGCGAATTTAAATTTAGCTCTTCACTTATTTCTAGCGATTCTATCTGAACCTCACACCTAAATTTGGGGACCCTTTTTTCTGATTGTTTCCTCATAGATTGTTGGGAAAATGGGAATCTCCTTTTTGTTTTTTTTTTTATCTTTTAGATTTTTCACACTCTCTTCTATAACTATTATAAATTTCAATTTCCATTCCCTCTTTGCTTTTTTTTTTTTTTTTCAATTTCCCAAATTCTTTTTTTGCTTCAAATCATCGCATGATTTCTGGTGAGTTTTAATTCAACCTCTTTTTTCCTTTTTAATTAAAATTTTACTGCCCTCTCGAAATCTCTGGAAAAATCGCCTTTTTGGTTTTTGTTTGTGATGGGGCTACTCTCTTTTCTGTTCTCCGTTTTTTTAACTTTGTTTGCTGAAACATTTTTTTTTCCAGAATTTTGAAATGACTAGTAATATTATTACATTTTGTAAAAGCAAAAGAATTAACTAAATTATAATATTAATGAATGGTATTTAAATATTAAAGTAACACGGTATTGGATTTTAATTGTTAGTTGACCAAATATATATTTTAATTTAACTAAACATTAATAATATATTTTTAGTATTCTTCGTATATATGTATGTATGTATTTATGACTATGGGTAAAAAGACTTTTTTTTTTTTGTAATTTTATAGGAATTCATTTGAGTATCTGTATTGTTACTTGTATTTAATTATATAATTAGAGGAACAAATATTTCTTTAGTTTGAGTATCTGTATTGTTACTTGTATTTAATTATATAATTAGAGGAACAAATATTTCTTCAGTTTTAGTGTTTGATATAATTATATCTTTGATTGTTTATAACTATTATGGTTTGGATTAACATTTATTTAATTATATATTTTTTATAATTTTGATAATATCTTCACAAATGGTAAACAAAAAGATTTGGTATAATTATATATTTGATGGCATTATTTAATTTGTAAACTCTTTATATTTTGTATTATATAATGTTTATTTTTTTATATTATACCAATTTGGTTTTATTTTTTTATATTTTGGGATCATATTAAATACTAGTTAATGTTTATATGTTTAATTTTTAAACATTTTGATATGCTTATTTCATTTTAATGTTAAATTTCTTAAATTTACTAGTTAATTATTTTTCATGTATGTTTTTCTTGTAATAAAAATTTAAAATATCACTATGTACCCATGGTCAAGAAATTTTTGCTTGCATTGTTTGTTCTGCAAAGAAAAGCAAAAAGCGAAAAATATGACATCAAACATTTTTGTTGTATTGACTATTTTGTTTCTGGTTAATGTTCAAAACTCTACTAATGGCTGGTAGCATTTCGCTTGTCATATGTTGCAAAAGCTTGGATTGTCCAGGTTGTTGGGAGAACGCCGTTTGACTTTGCTAAATTTAACTAATTTAGTAGCTGTTGTTGTTTCTTTGTTTTAGGTTTTTGACAAATGTGATGTTTGTTCCATGCGGTTTGATTTAGTAACTAGTTAATGTTGTCATTTATGTGGCTGTTTGTTGTTTCAATTTATACAGATTGCGTTGATTGAGTTGAGCTAATGCCCTTAGTTAACATTACATTTTTTCCTGCTCCAATGTAGTATTTTATTCATTTACTTGTTAAGTGGAATATGTTTACCATGGGCATTTAATGGACACACTATCAAGTTCTGTTTCAGTTGAGCCCAAAATCTTCCTATTTTATGCTATGAGAACTTTGAGTGACACTTGGTTTGAAAGGAAATCAATGTCACTATTTAGGGAAGAAATTGAAATGGTTTAGCACTTTCTACTTTTGAGTTGAGAAATACAACTTCAAGCAATCGGTAATTAATCACCCACTGAACCTATTTTTCTTTTTTTTTTTTTCCATCAAAAGCGGTTGATGATTGCGTATACATTAAACTTTTTGAAGACAGTTGTCGATTTGATAGTAGTGGTTAGTTCATTGAATGGCTCTAAAACTTCTTTTTCAAAAGCTATCTTTGTTGTTGGCCAACAAAACACAGCTATCTTTGTTACAAATAGTTCATTTGAGCTATTCTCTTATACCCCATTCCTGAGTTTTATATTTTCTTCTAATATCTATTTTGAGTTGGAATAATTACTGCATCTGGGTATTTTTTAGGGCTTTTCTTTGACTGAAATTTGTTGTTTGTCATTTTTGTTTTCCTAGTAGGTTTTATAAACAAATGTTCTTTCTGTAATTCGTGTGGGAAAATTTTGATTTCAAATGTGATTTTTGTATCTAGTAAATCTTCGTGAGTTCTTCATAAGGTTGCCCGTTCATATGTTTATGCTATCGGCTTCGGCAGATACAGAAAAAGATGCCTCAAGCCCTTCGACGAACTTTTATAGATAATCAGAAAGTGCCAGAGGTTGGAAACGCTATCCAGTCCAAGACTTCTTTGCAGCTGAATGATTCTAGAAGATCGTCAGAGGTTAGATACTTTTCCCATGTTTTGCCAATATTAAATTGTTGAGTTCATAGTCTTTGATTTTATGATAAGCTTGAGTAATTTCTTTTTCTATCGTTATCCATATATTATTCAGGATTTTGGAATTTCTTCTTTCAATTTGAGGAACACTGATCAGAGGTAATCCAATTTTGGTTGTTAGATATGTAAAAATGTACTTACATGTCCTACAGTTTCAAAGTTGCATTTAGAAACCTAAACTTGATTTAGTATAAAAGTGGGTAATAGAGCTCATGAAAAATGACTTTCTTGATTATTTTCAAATTCATAGATTTGCTAGATCTTTATTTTGGTGGAGGATTTGAGATACCTTAACAATTTAGCAAATTTCAAAATTCATTATTTAAAATATTTCAAATATAGGGTGTATTGAAACTTAACTAGTGTTTAGATAACGTTTACCTTCATTGTTCATGATTTATATAACAAACCAAATTCAGATACATTCTCCCAAAATTCATATTCCCAAACATAGAAATTAAAGTTTTTTTTTTTTTTTTTGTACTTAATACGTAAGCTGTCAATACTCATTTTTTTCCGCATGTATTCTTTGCTAGATTTCTCCATTCAATGTGATTGCTGAATAATTGTTTTCAAATATCTCTCTTTAGATATTTGCTCATTTCATTATATGGTATCTTTCTTCTGTATTATGAAGTGGCCTTTGTGTACCTGAATCTAGGAATACCATCATACTATATACTACAGGAAAGAAAATAGAAAATTCTAGCTTTAGATACTCTATTAATTGGAATCGAAAGAACAAAAAAAAGTTATTGTTTACTATTAATATTCAAATCTGCTGAAATCCATCCCTCAAGAAAAGATATTTGGTGAAATGTACTAATTCAGGTGACCTGAAGTAATTCCTTTTCTATTGATTGGGTATCATAGACAAAATAACTTACATTTGTCATTTTGTTGACGTGAAATGCAAAATGAAGAAGTGAATGACCCTCCCTCCTCTCCCCTCCCCCCCCCCCCCCAAAAAAAAAAAAAGAAATGAAGGAACCAAAGGTTTTTTTTTTATGTATGGAACATCTAGACGAAGTAATTTCCTTATACCAAACCACCAGCTAATGCAAATTATGTATTTCATTCAAAAAGGTTTGACAAATACTCTCTTTAAAATTTCAATTATCTTTCTATACTATATATAAATGTGGCTTAAGGGGTGTAAAAATGTTTTGAAGACTATATTACCCCTTTGTTTTGAATCAAATTTTTATTATGCTAGTTAACCCAAAAAAAAAAAAAAATCCTCTTATACTATTTTGTTATTATGGTGATTTTTATTTATTAATAGTCTTTGTCCTATTAGAATAAAACAACCTTCAAGAAAGTGATAAATCCTAAAAGATCAAGAAAAACTTGGCTGAAATGTAAGCCAAAAGTTTTTCATTAAATTAATTAGATAAAATAGTATGTTTGAGATGCAAATTGCACCTCAAGAAAAGCTAGTGCATATGAATGTGTTTTTGGATACTCTTGATAGCAGTAATAAATAAACAATGAATATGGTAAAATCAGGAATTTTTATGAATACAAAATCAATGGGTAGAACAATTACTTTGGGTTAGAGGTGGCAATTGGACGGATGAGGTCTGGTTTGGGTTGCATCACCTCAAGTCGAAGAAAATTTGGGTAGTTTCGGATTCAGTCATCTAGTGCGGGTCATTTCAGGTGCAAATTGTTGAGTTTTAAAGTCATTAATTTAATTTTGGGTTATTCAGGTTTGAATTTATTTTGGATTCAGGTTTGAGTTATTGATTGGGCTTGTGTTCAGACAGTTGAGCTGGTTTTTGGGGTTTGTGTCAACTTTGCTAGTTCTACTTTCAGTACATTTATGATAGAGGAAATATGTTCAATTTGTTGATATATATATTGCTAGAAAAAATGTCAATAAGGGCTTGATGCACGCTTTGGATGCCATTTACAGTCAAATCTTTTGTTCTTCCATAACTGAGTTATAACCCTCACTAGTAATCTCATAACTGTATTTAAGTTTACTATCTTAGTTCCGAACATGCCTTAATGCTTACTGCTTGAATGTACGCTTTCTCTCTGTCAAGAAGATCCTTGAGTTGTCAGTAGAGTCTTAAGCTAAGCTTTTTGAGCAGCTTGTACATAGTTGGTCTAGATTAAATGTCTAACGAATTAAAGTTGGGGTTGGAGTTTGCTAGGAGCCAAGGATGAGGATTTAGAGTTTGTATATGTGTTTTTATGTTATATTTTACCTTTTTGTCCAGATGAAACAACTCTGGTAAATCTTGATTGCCGAAGCTAATCATTTATTTTCCTTATTGCTCATTTTCCATGTGCATAACATATATATTTTTCTCTTTTGACAATATTTTATTTGATTGTATGACTGGGTCTTTCTCCTGTTAATTTTTTTAGGTGTGCCATTTTGGCATTCCCTACCCTTGAATCTGATGGGCGGTGGAGAATTGTTGCACTGCCCTTGCAATGTTTTGATTACACTAACCATTTCGGATCTAGAAATGAAGTGAATATGAATGGCCTGCATCTGGTCTCCTCTCCGTCTATTAATTCATTTAAGGTTGATGGACAGAAGACAAAGAAAGGGCCTCAACCTGAGATTACTTATTCTGCCAAGCCATTTAGAGCCAGAAGCTTTTCTGGATCCAATGTGCAACATCAATCTCGCACTAGGACAATTGCAAATAAAATATCTAAATCGAATGAAGTGTCCAACAATTCTTCCTGTCATAGTTCCATCACTTGCGATGATTACTCCGCAGTTATGTCAAAAGGATCTAATGCTACCAATCCATCTGCTATGTTCATCAATTGTTCTGAGGAAGACAACACTATAAAGAGAAATTCACAAAAGAAGGCAAGAAAGAAGGGAAAACATAAAAAGAAACTGTTGTGTGATGTTGGCTTCACAGAATCAGAAGTTTGTACTGAGTGTACCCATGGAAGTTCAGCATCTGAAATCTGTGGTAACAATGACATGAATTGTGGTGTAGTAGTATCACGTGCAACTTCGCCTGAAGTTTCACCCTCTGATGGTTTGCTTAATGTAACTGATTTTGCAGACAGCAGCAATGGTGTTGTTAGAAGTTTTGATTCACCAAATATATGCACATCTGACATTGATGAAGTGGATATATCAGAATCTATTGTACCTTCTCTAGTTCAGAAGTTTCCTATGGAGCATCATATAAATAATTCCGAAGTTGGTAGTGAAGACCAGCGACTTTCAAGGTGTCAAGGAGATATAGAGAGGAGACATCCTTCACATATGGGCTCTCTTGAAGGCATACATCAGAAGGATTTCTCTGATATGCGTGATTCTCTAGTGTTGGACTCAGTTTCCGTTGGTTCAAACAGTGAAGACTGTACGAGTGCTGGTCAGATTGTTAAGCCATTTAACAAAAACAGCCATGAAATCAGCCAATCAGAGCTACCCGGTTCCATTACCAAGAAAGGGTTCTATCATCAAAACTCATTATGTAGTATTTCAGAAACCCATGATTATACTGTGGGAACCAAGCATGGTCTGGCTCGTAGCAGCTTTGATGGACGAATGGTTGCATCAGGCCAGAGGGGTAAGCAGTTTAAATCTATTCCTGGGAGTTCAGGTACTTGCAAACTTGGAACTATAGGAAAATTGCATGGTAGACCGGGAGCAGAGAACGGTCATTCTGTTTGGCAAAGGGTTCAGAAGAATGCTGTAGAGAAATGCAACAATAATTTGAAGAAAACAAGTCCCATTTGCTCACAATTTGATGTTACTTTAAAGGATGCTCCTTTGCTGAAAAGAAATTCTAATGTTGCCAATGTAACAACCTTATGTATTAGTGATGACAAGAGGAAGTCAAAAAGTAAGGTTTCTAGAAAGTTGAGAAGAAAAGTTAGTCCCGCTTCAAAGCAAGAAAACTGCTGTTATTCCAAGGAGTCTCATCCCAACGAGGTAAACTTAAATGCTCATGCAAAGACTAACATGCCAAAATGTGATATATTAGATGTTTTAACTTCTCTGGATGACCATGGTGTGATTAAAAATTTTTCAAGGTCTTGTTCTCAGGTTGGTTGTGCAAGGGTTGAGGCCATGAAATCTGAATCAGTTAACAACTTTCAAGCTGGTCCAAGGAGCATAGAACCATGTGAAAGTGTCTGTGGTACTGCTTCTGGTTTTAATAATCAAGACAGCTTACTGCAAAAATCATGTGTCCCTTTGGACCAGCCAAATTTGCTTGAGGTGCAAACTCCAGTTTATCTCCCTCATCTGATGGTGAATGCTGTTGCTCGAACAGAAAAAGAAAGTTATTTTACTGAAAATGGTAAGCAAAACCATAATATGGGCTCTGTTCTGCAGAAATGGATACCTATTGGGATAAAGGATCCCGGATTTACAACATCTGCTAGATCTGCCAATTTGTCATTGGAACATCCTAATGGGCCAGATGCTGAAGATTGGACTTTCAAAAATACCGTTGAAGATAAAGTTGCTCCTTGTTCTCAGAATCTTTATTCTTCAGTGAATGCTGGAACACTCTGTAGGATTGGGAAGGATTCAAGATATGCAATTAGTTCTCATGAAATTGGGAACCACACTAAAGAATTGAGGAATCTGAATGCTTGCATAAATGAAAATGAAAACAAGCACGATGGGGCTAATTTCTTAATGGATGAAACTAAAGAACAAAATTTATCAGCAGTTGCAACTGATTTAAACAAGATAGCAAAGGCATTGAATGATGCCTATAGGGCACAAATGGCATCTGAAGCTGTTCAGATGGCCACTGGGGTTCCCATTGCCGAGTTTGAAAGGCTTCTTCACTTTTGTTCTCCAGTTATTTGTCATTCATACAGTTCGGTAGGTTGTCAAACTTGCTTGCTGGACCGGGTTCCTAGCGCTCTATTGTGTAGACATGAGACACCAAACATTCCATTGGGATGTCTGTGGCGGTGGTATGAGAAACACGGCAGCTATGGATTAGAAATAAGGGCAGAAGATTATAAAAATCCAAAGCGATTGGGTGTTGATCAGTTTGAATTTCGTGCCTACTTTGTTCCTTACTTGTCAGCAGTTCAACTCTTTAGGGACAGTAAAAGTCATTCCACCCAGAATAACACCAGAATTTCTTCTCCTGGAGTTTCTGAGGCTTGTGATACTGGTTCCACTTCAAGAAACTCTACTAATGTCAGTCACCATCCAATATTTTCAGTACTTGTTCCACAACCACGCACTGCAGAACCAAGTAGTCAGTTGCAAGTAAATGATGTGGTTAGATCAGAACCATCTCCAGTTTCTCCTAAAGATGTGTTGCCTGTTAAATCGGTTGACATGACATGGTCTGATCATCTTGAACTAGTTTTTGAATACTTTGAATCTGAGCAGCCTCAACAAAGACGGGCATTATATGAAAAGTGAGTATTAATTTTATCTCTTTTCAGTAGTTTCCCTTAGCAATTTCACTGCTTTTGACATTTGATATCATTATTATGGATCTTATAATTTTACGTATTAAGTTTCATCCCTAAGTGGAATCAACTCTCATGCCTCACAATCCCCTTTCAACCCTTTCCCCTATTCTTCTTTCACCTGCTAAGCATAAGTGTAATAGTTTTCTCTTTTGATTGCATGGATACAAATCTTGATGCTAAATACTTACAAAATTATATCTTTCCCATTCTTCACCTCTAACATATTTGATGAGTGGAATCATGATCTGGCTGCTCTTGATTCTGAGAGAATGGTGGGCCAAATGCAGTAAAAAAGCTCTTTTAGCCTATAAATCTTACGTGTGCTTTTGTTTTATGCTGTTCTTGTCCTTCTTCTGTCTGTTGCTCCATTGTTATTAATGGCATCTATAACTTGTTGTTCATGTTTTAATTTAATGTAAATGAGCATTTGATGGTGGGACAGCCGGTGAAGATGCAGGTTTGCATAATATTTAATTAGTCACTATAGTTTGATTTAACTCTTTCATCTTGTTGTCAGCTTTGGGTAATCTAGTTTGCTAAATAAAAATAACAATTTTATTTTCAAATACTTGATTCTGATTCTGTTGGTTTCAGGATACAAGACCTGGTTAGAGATGATGTGTCTCCTCGGTGCAAAATGTATGGAGATCCAATTTATCTGAACTCCATAAATATGCTTGATCTGCATCCTCGATCTTGGTTAGTGATAGAATATGCTTCACTTAACAAAATGTGGAATCTGTTTTGGATTTTATTTTAGATAACTTAATGCATGATGATGGTTCTGTGCTGCCTAGTTATACCAAGAGTTCTTTTAATGTTTGGTTGCTTCTATATTTCAGGTATTCTGTTGCATGGTATCCTATATATAGAATTCCATATGGGAACTTCCGTGCAGCATTTTTGACTTACCATTCACTTGGCCATTTGGTTCGTAGAAGTTCCAAGTTTGATTACCCTAGTGTGGATGCTTGTATAGTATCTCCTGTTGTCGGACTTCAGAGTTACAATGCTCAGGTACCCATTATTAATTACTCAATTGCTATGATAAACTTCAGTACTGTAGCTTGCTTTTTGGTGCTCTTATTTTTCAGAACAGACTTTAAGATGTTCTCTGTTGCCTAACTTATTCTGTTTGGACAAACCTCCTTAACTGAACTTTGATGTATTTTAAAGAGCTATATTTCCTTTGCTAATAGACGGATATGAGCATGCACCAATTATTAACTTGATAAGTGTTTGAAATTTAAGTATGTAGGGTTTTGCAAGATAGAAGCTGTCATCTGTATATGCTGTTTTAATTCTAATGTACAAGGGCAGCCTTAATAACTGTGTAAATTCTATTTTAATGTCATAAAAGGTTTTTTGTATGGTTTGTTTGAATTTTACATTAACATGTATTGTATATATGTTGGTACCTATATACTGAGGATTGATTTTGTCTAAAGATCACCCTTTCTTTAAGATGATACCATTTAACTTGATGATGGAGGTTCAGAAATGTAGGATCACAGAGGTAAATACCTAATTGGGTGATCCCATCTGATCACATGACTAAGAGCTCTATCAGTTGCTTTACCCCCTTTCATCAGCATCTCAAATGATTATTGCCTATTAGTCATTTGCACCAACTATAGAAGCACCTCTGTTATCAGAAATTTTCTAATCCGACATATATGCATGTTTGATAGTCCAAATAAGCTTTAAGAAATTGATTTGGTATGTTATCTTAGCTCCTATTATATTAACATATGGTATTGGTTGAGTCTGTATTATGAATAATCACCTTAAATTATCCTATGCTTGAGGCCTTAGATAAAATCTGGGGACTGAATTGATTGGTGAAAGATTGTTACTTTGCTTTGTAGCTTTGAATAAGGAAATGCATCTGTTGTCTCTTGAAAGATTATCCTATCCATCCAACATCTCTTGGGTCAAGATACATGAACTGGTTTTGCCTTTATTGCTTAGTTATGACCTTTTGCTGTTGTTTCTTCTAGTTATCTCTAAATAGAGTATTTCAGAACTTAGTTTCCAAAGGTAAACATTCCGTTCATATAATACAGAGTAATATAACTATCATGAAATTATTGATTTGGAGTTCACTCAAACAGTTGATTAACAAATAACAATGCCTGTGAGTCAGTCTAATATGCAAGCATGTCCTCTCCTTATTTTTGTCACTGCCTCTTCCATTAGTTACTAAATTTTTGTTGTTCTGCCATTGAATATTTACTGTATCTATTTTTAAAGATGGTGGATTTTTTAATCATAAATGCATGTCACTTGAACAGAGTGAATGCTGGTTCCAGCCGAGGCCCTCTACAATGAATGATACTTCAGGAATACTGAAGGAGCGATTAAGGACTCTGGAGGAGACTGCATCTCTAATGGCAAGGGCTGTGGTCAACAAGGGAAATCAGACATCAGTTAATAGACACCCTGATTATGAGTTCTTTCTCTCCAGGCAACAATAGTTAATTATGTGCAACTCACCTCTTCAGCTTGTCAGTTCAGCAATGTTCAGGTAGAAGCTAACCTGAACAGTGAGTTCAGTTCATAGTGTTGTTTGGCCAGTGAATGCTCTATCTCTGTACAGTTTGTTTGTATTAGTATTGATTTTGAAAACTTGAAATAGGATGCATAGCTTTTAGCGGACAGCCGAATGATGTATAGAAGTTTTGTTTAATCAAAGTTGAGTCTTCAAACTATGTCTATGAATATATTTGTTTGTTGAAGAAAAGGTTTTCAAGCATTTTCTTAAGTTTTCGCTTCCAGAAGCGGATACTATGGCTTATAATCTTTCTTTTAACCCAAACAAGTATTTTGGCAGAGTGGGAAGGGCATTAAAAAAAAAAAAAAAAATTTCCCAACCAAACACTCTTTTAACTGCTCAAGGAAATGAAACATGTTGGCTGGGAACATGTGAAGATTCGATACAATCGTTGGTCAAACTAACCTGAGTTGTCGACATTTGTTATTTCGTCACTTATTATAAACACTTTTCTTTATTGAAGTGTTAGTAAAGAACTTTGTGTTAATGTGAATGTGGCTATCAATGTGAACGTTAGGCGGGATTAATGTTAATGGGTCAAATTATATGATAATTAGAATTAGAATTTGTCAGATTCTATCAATCATTGTCCATCATTTTCAACGATTTTTAGTATTTTTCTATTGCTTTATTTTTATGTTATATATTTAGATAGTTTTTTTTATAAATATATTTTTTAATAAAAATATATTAATTTTAATTAATCTAAATAATAATTTATATTATTTAATAAAAAATATATTTACTAAATATATATATATATATAAAGTATGAGTATAAGTAGAGTCGATCGCTATGCAACCCATCCCTTTTTTCGTATACAATAAAAATTTAAAATTATAACTATCTTTATCTTTATACTCATAATGTAATATACATTTTTATTCATATTTAAATAAATTGAATTCCGTATTAGATATAAGTAAGATTAACATCCTTAGTTTCGAAATTGCATTTCTAAAAGTTTTTATAAAAATCCAAAAATACAAATTTAAAAATTATTTTCATTTTTGTAAACTTTTAAATTTCCAAACTTAACCAAAATTTAAAATAAATGATATTAATTCTCAATCCTCAATCCTAATCCTCAAACTTTCTAAATAGCAAAGAGAGATGAAAAATTGGGAGCTACACTTGAATAGAATCTTCCAACAAATGACATTTATCAAATTTCTAAATTTTATGAAAATGCATATATGAAAAGTTTAAAAACCTTTTGAAAATGCAAATTAAACTTTCCGATATGCATTTTAAAAAGATATTTAAACCTTTAGAAATACATATCCGAAAATTTTTTAAACCTTTCGGATATATATTTTCAAAAATTTTTTAAACATTTTGGATATACATTTTCAGATGCACTATAACCAAAAACTTACTGATAAAAAAATAATTTCAATAAAAATTATTAAGTAATTTTATTAATGGGTATTTTTGTCTAAATATTTTTTAAGTGTAAAAAATTTTGTGGGGCATTTAAATTTTAGAGCTACACAATTATGTATGCCGAATTGCTTGTCTTCTGTTATGTCCAATTGCTTGTCTCTTTTTGCCAAGAATGTCCAATTGCCTATCTAATTCCACATATTTGAGAATCAATATATATATATATATATATGTCAAATTCAAATAAAATAATGAGGTTATTATATAAAAGCATTAAATTCTTTTTGAAAATAAAAAGTTTAAAAGAAGTGAATAAAAATTAAAATTTAAATAATAATTTTCCTTTAAAAACATAATATCAGTTCCAAATTTTTCACAAAAACCTAAAAGTGATAGCAACTAATAGAAAAAAAAAATGAAAGTTGCATCTATAATTGATTTTGTATGCAAAATATATGTAGCTTAATAATGCATGTATAGAAAGAAAGTTAAAGAAAATCAAATTAAAAGATTTATTAATTAAGTTTATGTAGCTTAATTAATTATAATTTGAGTGTTAGGCTTACACATATAATAATCATTCATATACGTTTATATAATATTTTATATTTAATTTTGATAATTAACAAAATATAATTATACTAATACATAGTAAAACAAACAAAACAAATTTTATTTAAATAAATAATTAATAATTTAATATAATATAATTTAAAGTTATTTTTAAATTTAATTTAATTAAAATATTTATAAATATTAAAAAAAATTTGCCGACACATGGGCAACATTCTAGATCTAGTTTTTATAATAATAGCCGTACAATTAAATAAATAAAGATATTGAAAATGAAATCGACATATTAAAATATGTAACGTTAATATTTGATGTTTAATGATATTTTTTTATTTAATATGTGATTAATACATTCTGTCTGTCTCTTATGAAATTTTGACGTTACATAAGCAAGTCTTATTCCATCCGTTTTCTACGGAAGGATTAGTCGATTGTTTAAAATTCCTATATAATTTTAAAAAGTTTGGAATCAGAAGAAAAAGATGGTTATGAAATATTCTGTACCAGCTGTCAAACATTTCTGTCGATACAAGTTTCATGGCTTATCAACTTCATTAAAGGTCCTCCACTTTTTTTTTTTTTAATTAATTAAAGATGTTTTTGAATTTTATTTGATCAAATTGTATTTACAAAAATAAAAATTCGAGTGATAAAAAAAAAGAAAGTTTATTTTCTTATCAATTTGATTAATCCTTAAAGATTAATTTCTTCAGTATTATCTTTTAAGTCTCAGTTTTCCTTTATTTTTATATTAGAGCAATAAATTTTAATTAACAATATGTGATGTTTTTTATTTTTAAAATTTTTTATTTTAATATTGAAAAAATAAGATGATTCTAAATTAACTTTTTAATTAATAGATGTTAAACGTTCAAATTAGGATATAAAATTTGAGTATTATTTTAATTAAAGATATTATTTTTAATTTGACTTAATATAAAATTAAATATTTTTAAATAAATTTAGAACAGAATTACACCATGATAATGTGATGCACATATTAGTAAAGTCAATAACACATGACATATAAATAACATGTGATACATGAATAATACATTATCTTATTTTTTATTACATATTTTTCAAAATATATTAAAAATTTTTGAAAAATATTTTTTTATATTTTCAACAAAATTTATTTTTTTTTATTTTAAAAAGGTCATTTTTATTAAATTTTAAAAAATAATTTTTTTTTTATATTTTTAACAAAATCCATGCTTTTTATCATAATATTTATCAGAGATTTCAATTGCAAGATTCTTTGTTTAAAATATAAAAAAAACTATAATTTTTACGTAAAAATGTAATGTTTGTTAATAAATGCTATGTTTTTTTTTTTTAATATAGTCTTTGTTGAATTTATGAAAATTTGAAAAATAAATTTTTTCATACTATATCATCAAGCAAAAATAAAGAACAAAATAAAATTTTTTTATAATATATTTTCAATAAATATCAAATTTTTATTTTAAAAAAGGCGATATTTGTTGAAAATGTGATAAAGACAACGTTTCTAATCTCAAAAACGTGATTTCTATTTAAAATATATTAAAAAAATTACTTTCATAATTTTTATAAAAAATTATTACTCTTTTAAGGTAAATAGCATTATATATATAGAATTCAAAAGTACAATTAAGTGAAGATAAATAAAAAAGTATTTTCCTTTCTTCTTATATTTAAAAAAAATTTTGGAGATTAGAGATTTTATTCTCTACTTTTCCTCTTCTTGATATTTTAGAAAATTTTTAAAAATCTCAAGCAATCATATTTCCCGAATCAAAGTTAAAAATAAAATTACAAAAAATAAAATTTTAACAAAAAATCTTACATTTCCTTAGGCAAATATCCTCTTAATTTTTTTTTAAATCCCTTCCTTTATCATAATTTTATTGTGGTTGAATCTTACTTTAAATTAATATAAAATATTTAATCTTACATTAAATTAAATTAAAATTAATATATTTAATTGAGAAAATATTTAAACATTAAGTTATAAATTGGGTATTTAATTTTAAAAAAATACACACCAACTATTAAATCGAATGTTAGTAATATTATTGTTGATGTTATAAGAGAATAAAAAATTATAAAATATATTGAAAGTTAAATTTTTAAACTTCACAAATAAAATTAAAAAGATAATATATATTCCTTAAGGTACATCTAAAAAAATAAAAAAATAAAAAATAAAAATAAACATATGTCAATCTTTTAGTATTACATATAAAATCATAAAATTTATATTAATAATATATTAAATACTAACTCTAAAAAAAATTATATGGCCAAATATGAACGCAAAAGAAGTTATTTCAAACTAAAAAATTTTCCATCAAGCCAATTAATAATTTAACCTAACTTCTATCCTATTTTGAGATTATATGACTTCGTGGCTTAAACGGTGAGACACTTCACATCAATTAGGATTTATCTTATTAATTAGGATTTAAAGTGGGACCAAAAATAATTAATTTTTTTCAAATAGATTTGATAGATTAATAAATCGAACCCTCCATCTCTCTTAAGTCACAAGAAAAGTACAAATTGTTTGCTAATGTTTCTTTAACTAGTATTAGTTTTTTTTTTTTCAAATTATTTGAAATCATAATCATTTTTAAGAAAATTTGAAAGAAAATGAAAGGAAAAATAAAAGTAAAAAGTGAAAAAAAATACAAAGGTTAAAATCAAACTCAAATGGAAAATGATGTATAAATTTCAAAAGATAACATCAAACCAATTTTGCAAGTCAGGGGATAAAAATCGAATTTGTCGTTATGCTTCGGTTAAACATTAAAGTTCGTCATGGGATTGAATTTTCCAAAAAAATCAAATGGAATAAAAATAGTGGCGAAATTCAATATTAAAGCAAAAGGTTTGGACAAATTGGATTCCTTAACAGTCACACATATCCTTAGACGGCTAGACCCTACTTGCACAGCGCGGGATGCAATGAAGAAAACAGATTGGTTTACATTCACATTCACATTTACATGATTGTGACAATGAAAATGAAGCCGCTAGGCCCCCCAAATTAAATGCGTAAGATTGCAGACAACGGCAATCAACGTCAAAACATTGAGGCGAAAACAAAAAAAAAAAAAAAACAAAACAAAAATTATTGAAAAAAAGGAGTCGACAACCAATCAGCCCATGTTTCCCATTTGAATAGTTCATTTTCTTTCACGCTCTTGGTGTGATAAAGTGAAAGCAACAACCTCCATTTTCACTTGTACTAGTATATTCTCACTTCCAAACCGTTTCCTATAAAGCCCAACCTCCATCAGATTCATTTCAGTTGTTAAGGATAAAAGATTCCTGTAATTTTACAAAAGAAAAGAAAAAGAAGAGAAATGGATGGGAATGGTAGGGATGAAGATAGGGTTGAGAATGGATTCAACCCAGAAGAAGAAGAAAAATATGGCAAGAATAATAATAAGGAGGTGAAGGGTCGTGAGATGTCAGTGGAGCAAATCTTTGAGGGACAGGAAGTGCCATCATGGAGAAAACAGCTGACGATGAGGGCCTTTGTTGTCAGCTTTGTGTTAAGCATATTGTTCAGTTTCATAGTGATGAAGCTCAACTTAACAACCGGAATCATCCCATCCCTCAATGTTTCAGCTGGTTTGTTGGGGTTCTTCTTTGTCAAGACGTGGACTAAAATGCTTGAAAAATCTGGCCTCCTCAAACAGCCTTTCACCAGGCAGGAAAACACCGTTATTCAGACCTGCGTCGTTGCTTCCTCCGGCATCGCCTTCAGCGGTACGTATTTCTATTTTCCTGTCTTTCATTTGTATAAACTGTAAAACTCTTATCCCTTTTCTGGAACAAAACTTTCCGAATTGTCTCAAAATCAGACACAGAGTATTCGGACCCTGTATAATCGGGTCGGATAGTTGAGCCCGGACCTGGTTAACGAATACCCATTGCTGTCCAGAACCGTTTAGGCCTTGCGTTTTCCACCACACATCCAAAGAAGCTACTAGTCCTTTCCTTTTACAAGTACTTCAGCTTTATGCAGTGACGTTGAACAGTATTATTTTCTGCTACATTGTAGTGTATAGATTGGGGAGACTAGATGAGGGAGTGGAAATTGCTTTCTTGGTTAATCAAAAGTGTCATCCACTTTGTCAATATTAGACATTATTAGCAATAGAAAAAATAAAAAACTACCCATCAAAATTTTCATTGAGTTTTTGTAACGTGAAACTTGAGTCTTTTTATTGTTTAATGTTTAATATTATATTTAAATTATAATTTATTAATTAATATAATATTTAAAAAATATTTATTTTTCATATATAATTATTAATATTATATTAATTAATAAATTTATAAGTTAAATATTACAAAAAAAATTTTAATTTAAATAACACGTTATATAGTTTATTATAATTCAAAAACTTTTAATGATATTAACGTTCCCAGAAATGCAGTTATTAAGTGTGAAAATGCCAAGCTGTAGATTAGTCTGGCTTTGGGTCCACAGTCCACTAAAAAAGAGTAATGGATGGCGGCAGTTAAGCCAAGTTGCAGCTTCTGGAAAGAGGGTAATGATAGGATGAGATTGAGAGATGCATGCGGTATTTGCCGTATTCTGTTGACAAGTCAATGACAGTTTAGGCTTTTTTGGAGGATTTTTATGCCAGAACATAGTAGCTGTTTCAATTCTGATGCTAAAGTCAAGCTGACACAATATTTTTCATATCTTAAATAACTTAAAGCGCCATGTTCACATTATATAATGCTAGTAATTATTATGCTAATGATGCTATCATTAATTTAATTTAATTATCATTTATATGTATGACTTCTATAATTTATGATGAATTGGGCTTTATACCTATGAATGGTGATGATAAATGTGTTAAAAAATAATTAAGATATGAGGAAGATGCCACCCACTCTTATTACTATATAACTGCAACCAATATTAATCAATACCAATCATATATTACCATTTTATATAATCCATCAATGGTGTATGGTTAGACAGTATATTGTCTAACAACAACTTTTAAAACTGTTCCATTTTTTTTTTTTGAATTTCCTAAGCTATCCCTAGCCCCCTGCCCTTTCTATTTATTTGATTGAAAATGATATTACATATATGAGCTCGTTTGAACTTGCAACCATCAAAAAATAATAACAGTTTCGTACCAACTGATTCTAACATCAGTTGGATTTAAAACTGTTCAATCTTAATTACACATGTGATCAGATTCATGTATTGCATTTCCACTTATATTTTGCATACTTGGTAAAACTGTCCTTGGTTAATTTCTTGAAAGATGAACATGTTCTGCTGTATCAAACATTGATTAATCAATGCTTAACAATGGTGAGAAACATAACTACTATGAAGATGAACTTAGATCACTCTAAGCTCTGAAAAAAAACAAGTTCCATTAGTGATTTAGTATTATGAAATCAGTTTTTTTCTTTGACATGAAATCGTGTGATATACTAGTTCACATAAGACTCTGGAATCAACATAACAAGCGCCTTTTAAGGACAAAAACTCAGAGAAAGAAAGCAATAGCTTGCATCATGACTTTGGGAGCAAGAATCGATTCACCTATCACGGATAATGTTCTTATGCATTTTGGCAATTACATAACAAATTTACAGCATAAAACTGTGGTTTTAGACTCGTAGTACTTGCAAATTTTGTAATGTATACTGTGTTTAAGAGTTGCTGGAAATTCTATTTTTACTGTACCTGGTTACAATAGGTGGATTCGGGAGTTACCTTTTTGGAATGAGTGAACGCATTGCCAATCAATCAGGGGACAATGGAGGTTTCAAGAATCCATCACTAGGATGGATTATCGGCTTCCTTTTTGTTGTTAGCTTTCTTGGTCTCTTCTCTGTGGTGCCTCTTCGAAAGGTACATTCTGCTCTGTCCCTATATATTTGCAAACTTGCAGCAACCACATTTTGAATGGACAATGTAATACAAATTTCAAAACATATATTTATATGTATCGTATTGTTTAAATGCAGGATTGAAGTCATTTGGTTGATACTGAATAATTAACCTGTATAGCTCATTATTCTTTTGTCCTCCTTTTCTCAGATCATGGTCATAGACTTCAAGTTGACATATCCAAGTGGTACTGCAACTGCACATCTTATCAATAGCTTCCACACTCCTCAAGGAGCTAAGCTAGCAAAGTAAATCACTGTCATAGTTGTGATTTCTAATTCAAGTTGATCATTTCGAAATTTATACATTCTAATCTTCTCATGCTTTTTACACTTGTAGGAAACAAGTAAAAACATTGGGCAAGTTCTTTTCTTTCAGCTTCTTGTGGGGTTTCTTTCAATGGTTTTTCACTGCCGCAGATAATTGTGGATTTGTTAACTTCCCTACATTTGGTCTTAAAGCATATAAGAACAAGTACATAAAATCTGTTATTATTTTCTTTAGTGAACACAGTTAATGTACAGTTGATACAAGATTTAAAAATATTTTGCTAAAAGAGTGCTAAGCCACTTTCTCGTGAGGGCATATTTAGCTAATACATCCTTTGTAATGTTCAGGTTTTACTTCGATTTCTCTGCAACATATGTTGGAGTAGGGATGATTTGCCCCTACATAATAAACATATCACTGCTGCTTGGAGGAATACTTTCGTGGGGTCTAATGTGGCCTATCATTGAAACAAGAAAGGGTGATTGGTTTCCTGCAAATCTTCCCTCAACCAACATGCATGGCCTGCAAGGTTACAAGGTTAGTTTCCTATAAGTTCATCAAATCTGTAGTTTTCTGCCACCATTACATAAAATCGTGAGACTCTTCCTCATTGACGCTTGATGTATTCCTTAAATTCAGGTATTTATTGCAATTGCCATGATTCTAGGTGATGGGCTATACAACTTTTTAAAGGTGTTAAGTAGAACCCTCACAGCCTTGTTTTATCAAGTTCGGGGCAGATCAGCTCTCCCCATTGCAAACCAGCCCTCTCTTGATACCTCAAATAAGCTATCTTATGATGACCAGTGTCGAACCCAACTCTTTCTAAAAGATCAGATACCTACATGGTTTTCTATTGCAGGTTATGTCACAATTGCTGTCGTCTCTACCATCGTACTTCCACATCTCTTTCACGAACTCAAATGGTATTACATATTGGTCATCTATGTCTCTGCACCAACACTGGCTTTCTGTAATGCCTATGGATGTGGACTGACTGATTGGTCCCTTGCTTCCACCTATGGCAAGTTAGCAATCTTTACAATTGGAGCTTGGGCAGGTTCACATGGTGGAGTCCTTGCAGGCCTCGCTGCATGTGGTGTCATGATGAACATTGTTTCGACAGCTTCTGACCTAATGCAGGATTTTAAGACTGGCTACTTGACTCTCGCTTCTCCTAGGTCCATGTTTATTAGCCAAGTGATTGGCACTGCCATGGGCTGCATAGTTTCACCTTGTGTCTTCTGGCTGTTCTACAAGGCATTTGATGACCTTGGACTTCCTGACAGTCAATATCCTGCTCCTTTTGCAACTGTTTATCGCAACATGTCTGCATTGGGGGTAAAGGGCTTCTCTGCTCTACCAAAAAACTGTCTCTTGCTTTGTTATGTGTTCTTTGGTGCAGCCATCTCGATCAACCTCATTAAAGATATGCTGGGTAAGAAATGGGGATCCTTCGTTCCATTTCCAATGGCAATGGCAATACCTTTCTACCTTGGGCCATACTTTGCAATTGATATGTGTGTTGGAAGTTTGATTTTGTTTGTCTGGGAAAAGTTAAACAAGGCCAAGGCAGATGCATTTGCACCAGCGGTTGCCTCTGGTTTGATCTGTGGGGATGGTATATGGACTTTACCTAGTTCAATACTTGCTCTAGCAGGGGTTAAACCACCAATTTGCATGAAATTTCTGTCGAGGGCAACAAACGGCAGGGTTGATACATTCTTAGGATCATAAAAGTTGAAGTTAGCCTACCAAGGAAGTATGCATGCAAAATATTGGAAACTCATATTCATGTAAAATATCCCATCAAGTATTATATGTATGTTGTTCTTCTGTGTTTCCTTCTTCCTGGTGTCGACAAAACAAGGTCCAGCAAAGTACGAGCAGTAGAGGCTGAGAAAACAAGATGAAAGAAGCCAATGAAGCATGTTGACTATCAAGCATGTGACAAATAGCATTACCAACATGTTATTGTTGACTCAGTGAAAAAGAATGAAATTTCATATGGTGAATATTGTCTTTGTTTTAGCATGTTTACGGTATTTTTTTTTTCTGCAAAGTTTACACTAAGTAATTGGAATTGCTCATTTCTTTTTGGTATCAGAACAATTTCGATATATCAGTTAGAAACCTCAATGTTAGTTGCAGGAAAATGATGGACAAAACTATTCGATTCAAAAACTAAAACTGTTAAAAAGGATTAAAGAATACTTCTTATTTAGCAACATGTAAGCCTGATACATTTCTACTGATAAGCAACCAAGTGAAGAACTAAATTTGCTTTGTCGTGGTATTATAATCTCATGCGATCCAATCTCCATCGCTTCCATTAGCATCCTAAATGAGATAAATAAGAATAAATCACTAAAATTGACAATAGCCATGCAATTTCTGATGCACATGCTGCATCAGAACCAAAGGCAATTAAAAGCCAAAATTTTCAGCTGCATGAATATGTCACAAAGAGGAAAACCTGCACTACGAATAAGTTATAGAAACCATAAGAATATGGAAGCTTAACAGTTACTTATTATGAGAGCTGAACTACATAACTCTTGCACGGCGAATTATTCTATATACTCAACCTGTGGAACTGCAGATTGATAGCAAAATGGACCCCCAATTTCTTAACAAAGTTCTTGAAGATGATAAAATACAAAGACAAACAAGTATATCCAACCTGTTCCAACCATCTTTTTTTTTTAGCTAAAAATAAATCCTTTTTAGTAAGTAATTTATTACTAAACAAAAATTATTGTTTAGTAAATAATTGTTGTCCGTTGCCCCGTTTAGGACTTCCTCCATTTTTAATAAAAAATATTTGATGATGTTTTGATTTTGTTTTATAAATAAAAAATTTAACTTTATTAAATAAATCATAAATTTAAAGTAAAAGAATAAAATAAAATAAGTTATTTTATTTTTTAAAATAAATAAATAAGTGAAAAAAACCAAATAAAAACAATTATTAAAAAAATTAAATTATAGTATATAATTTTATTAGATTTAACAATTCTTTTATATATATATATATATCTATTTGATATCTAAAACTTATAAAACGTGAAATTTATTATATTGCGAGCCCTTGGCTGATATTATCAGAGTTGTTTAAACACAAATTTTAGGTCGTTAACACGAGCTTGAGTGATTTGATTTTGACCGATATTATTGGGGTTGGTTAACCTAAATTTCTCTAGTTTTATTTTTCTTTTAAGCCTTCGGATTTGGTGCATATAAAAAATATTTATTACATCATAATTTATATTGTCAGATTAAATACAAACTATTTTTTTATTTTTTAAAAATTTATATACAATTTTTTATTAAATTTTATTATTATATAAAATTTTAATCCTTATTATTTTAATTTTTTTCCATATCATTTTATATTGCGTCATCTTTCTCTTTAAAATTGTCATGCGTAAACTTTAGGCAGCAATCGAAAATCCTAGTGTAAATCATTTTCAATCATTTCTCACTTTTTTGTTTTTTTAAATTTAACATTTCCGAAAAGGGAAAATGAACAAAGAAACGGTCTATACACCATAACCATAACTAAGAATCCGATCTAAGATCCTTAGCTAGAAATCACAGCAAAATAGTAAAAAAGTTAGGAGAAGTTCTATTCATGCAAACAATTAGGGTTTTCTTTTATCTGGTGTAGGAAATGGCACTGAGTAATGTAACTTTGGCCCCAATTACTCCTTCTTCTTGTTGTTGTTGTTTCTTCTTCACTCGAAGCTCCAATTACAGTGAGCTTTTAGGATTCGAAACCCTAACCAAGTCAAACGGATGTCTTTTTCCCACTGTGAGAAACCGCTGGAGATCCGGCGCTATCGACACTCGTATCGGCATTGTCGAGAAAGCGCCGGTTTCACCTTCTTCCTCCTCGCGTACCGCGACCATTGTCGGAAACGCGGCCGTTGATATCCCGGTTAGTTGTTACCAGCTGATCGGCGTTTCAAGTCAAGCTGAGAAAGACGAGATTGTGAAATCGGTGATGAATTTAAAGAGCGCTGAGGTCGACGATGGCTACACTATGGATGTCATCGTTTCTCGTCAGGTAAAACGGCAGTTGAAGTGGTTGTTTTGTACCTTTTTTATGCTTTCTTTTTTTTAATTTCCTTTCTTCTTTATAGGAAGTTTTGATGGATGCGAGGGATAAGCTACTTTTCGAAACAGAATACGCTGGAAATGTGAAAGAAAAGATTCCACCTCAATCTTCACTTCGAATTCCATGGCGCTGGTTGCCTGCTGCTCTTTGCCTTCTTCAAGAGGTGCATTATATTTATGTATTTTCGACTGTTTATTTTTCCCTATTTTTTAGTTTTAATAATTTAGTAGATATTGTTAATTATTTAGAATATTTGGGAGATTTTGTTAATCATTTAGAGAAAATTTTGTCTTGTTGCCTTCTCGTTTGTAATGTAAGGTTTAACTACTATGGGTTCCTATTAACGTTCTTCTTGCGTTTGAAATAAAATGTAAAAAAATAAAATAAAACTAAACTAAACAAAAAAAAAAAGAAAAGAAAACAGGTTTGAATAGTGTTCATGCTTAGTTATCATGTTTGAATTGGTTTTACATTTTAGTCAGTCGCTCATTGTACATCAAGTATGAATTTAATTTTTATTATGAGCTTTTGCTTTAAATTTTTTGAGGAAGCAGAAGCAAAATGTAATAAACTAATGAAAACTGAGACTTCGTTTGGTTGTTTGTTGTTTCTTTCCTTTTTTTTTCTTTTTGCTTGTTGCTGTTTATTTCTTAAGAATTTGCTAAAAAGTAAAAGTAAATTGTAAAAGGGAAATTGGATTTGGTAGGAAATGAGCACATGGCTAAAATGTATAGCGCATATTCAAACATAATTGCTGCATATCAATGTAATTTGGTACGCTTTGCTTTGGCATCCTTTTTTTTTTTTTTTTTGTTTTTTGCTTTTGGAAGCTAAAAGAAAGGAAAGTATCCACCAAGAAAGCCTTAAATAAGTCAAGGATTTTAGCTTGGTAACATAGAAATGATATGTTGTGGGTTCCTTGTGAATCAGGTTGGAGAAGAGGAGCTGGTTCTTGAAATTGGGAGCGCAGCTGTTCAGCGTCCTGATGCTAAGCCATATATTCATGATTTGCTTCTATCAATGGCACTAGCTGAGGTGAGGCAAGTAGGAGAAGAGCTTAGCAGCTTTTACCAGTTTTAACATCGGCTTTGCTATGCCTACTTTTCTTATCATAGGTGCTTTCTTGAAGTGTTCAATTGCAAAGATTGGTTTTGAAAAGAACAAGGTATCTGAAGGATTTGAAGCTCTTGCTCGTGCTCAGTGTCTTCTCAGGAGTACAAAATCTCTTCGACAAATGACATTGTTATCTCAGGTAATTCTTGTTTCTATTTTTTTCTTTTGCCTTCGCCTTATTGAAGGATTGCTAAGATGTGCTGTGGTTCAGTCTGTAATAGGTGTACTCTTGGTTTTCATGTGTCTCAATGACAATGATTATTGTTAATAGCATAAGGTAAACATAATTATACAATCCAAAATTTCTAATGAATTCATCTTATGGTTAAAACTTACCGTATTCAGCTGATAGCGATGACTGCAATATTGTCAGAGGAAAGGTGCCAATTTTTTATGCCATCCTTATTACTCAAGGGTTTATGTTTCAGCCTTCTCTTTACGTTAATTTATTGACCATCATTCTTAGATAGAAGAATCTTTGGAGGAGCTTGCACCTGCATGCACATTGGAATTATTAGGCTTGCCCCAATCACCTGAAAATGCTGACAAGCGAAGAGGAGCAATTGCAGCCCTGCGTGAACTGCTTCGACAGGGGCTTGATGTGGAAACATCTTGCCAGGTCCAAGATTGGTCAGGCTTCTTGAGCCAAGCACTTAATAGGCTGTTGGCCTCAGAAGTAGTTGATATTCTTCCCTGGGATAATTTAGCAATTGCAAGAAAGAATAAGAAATCAATTGAATCACAGAATCAAAGGGTTGTAATTGATTTTACCTGTTTCTACATCGCCTTGATTGCTCATATTGCTCTTGGATTTTCTAGCAGGCAAAATGACTTGGTAATTTCCTTATTCCACATGATCTCTAAATGATGTTTTGGGGGTTCTGTGTTGGACTGGTGGGGTGGGGAGACTGTTAGCTATTGATTCTTTCTTATTATTTTCACCTTTTACTATATTTGTGTAGATTATCAAAGCAAAAACTATATGTGAGTGTTTGATAACATCTGAGGGTAATGATCTCAAGCTTGAGGTGGCTTTCTGCTTGTTCCTTCTTGGACAGGTACAGATTTCATCTCCTCCCTTTTATCAAATGTTGCATTAAAATCTTGTAGAAATTGAAGGTTTTGTTTACTTGGAGGCTGGAGCATTTTTTAATTGAAATTCTTTTGAAACTTATATGTTGACTACTAGGGAAGTGAGCCTGAGGTTATTGAAAAGCTTCAACAGCTTGAATCAACTTCAAATCCTGCTCCACAAAATTCTATCACAGGAAAGGAGATACGAGGCACTTCTAGTACAAATTCACTATTGGTATGTCTTAAACCATCTCATACTTCAAAATATGCATCTGAGAATGCGGTGAATAAAAAGTTTCAACAGTTGGGAAGTCATATGTGTTTAATTTACTGTTTTCAATGGTTTTTTCTTTTTGATACATTATTAGTTATTTTGCATTGACTATCAAATGGTGATTATATGTATGCTTAGGAAGTTTCTGGAGAATTAAGGAGTTTGTGTGTTATTTCAGGCTCTGAAGGATACATATATTGGAGTAGTGACTTGTGTAAAGACTCATAGAGGGGTGGCCAGAGCATTGCCCAATAACAATAGTTTACTCAAAGGACCAGCTTTTTGCCCTTATCTATTTGCCTTGGTGATTGATGAATTTATTAGGCATATTCAAGATTCTATATTTGGTGTATCATGTATGCTTTTGCAGATGACATGAATATGGTGGATGAGATGACAGCCATTATAAATGCTTCAGCTATGAAGGGAAACCATAGAATCAAAACCTTTCGGTTAGTAAGTCTAAAAAATGTGTATGAAATGAAAGCTTCAGGAAAGCAAGGAGAGGCAATGAAGCAAGGTTAAAAATTGAAGAAAGAGATATACTGCAAAGTGAGCTGTTTCAGTATCTTGGCTCAATCATGCAAAAATAGGTTCCAAGTATGATTGATGAAATAGAGAAATTTTAGTGGGGCCTTCACTTGTGTGACAGCAAATACCCTTTAAGCTTAAGGCAGATTTCTGCATGATAGCAATGAGGCCAGCATTGCTCTATGCTATTGAATTTTGGGTGGTTGAGCAAAAGATGAAAGTAGCGAAAACGAGGATGATGCAAAAGATGAAAGTAGTGGAAATGTGGATGATGCAAAAGATACATGGGTTTATAAGAAAATATTGGATTAGGAACACGCACATGTGTTCAGGAAAAGGTGAAAACAGTAGTCAGCATAAAACGATGACACTTGTTTAAGTGGGTTGGCCATGTGGGGCAGAGGTCTATAAATGCTTCTATTGGAGTATGTGATTTAACGGAGAATGGTCATTTCAAAAGGGGGAATGATACGCCAATGAAGAGATAAGTGGAAACCGTCCAAAATGACTTTGTGCTTGATGCATGCCTTTGCGCCTAGGCACACTTTTTTCAAGGCTAAAGGTGCAGAAAAAGTGTGCCTGACTTAGTGTCCTTTCGTTTCTTTTAGTTTTTCATTTCTTTGGTTAGCTATTCTTTCATTAGTCAAAAAGGGACAGTTTCAGCTCTATTTACTGGACTAAAAAATTAATAATATATCTGATGCACAACTTGTTGAAGAAACTGAAGTAAACTTGGAACTTTATGATAATTCTTGATCTTTGGAACACATTAGGTACTGGATGTAAACTCTAATATTTATTAACAAAATCATATATTTTAAGCTTATTAGATATAATACATAATTTTTGTCCTGTAGTTATTAATTATCTTTTAGAAATTAGTCTCTTCATTCAAGTGAGCTTTTTTTTTACACCTTGGCTGATGTAGGTGCCTAGAGGATGCCTTGTACCTTTGACAACATTGAGGTAGAAAAGGGCTTGATTCTTTCTTTTGTGGAGAGCATGAACTTAAAACTGTTGAATGTGTACAAATTCAAGCCAAGGACCATGTTAAATCATGTTCTCTTTTTATTGTTTCTTTTCTTATTTTATGATTTGAAGACAAGTAGTTTGGTAAGGTTGTGTATTTGATAATAGTCATGATCGTGGTGCTAGTTGGACTGTGTTCCACTACCACATAACCCCTTTGAATCTTTGACCTTCTTGTTTATCTTCAAGATTGATGCCTTCTCTAATATCAAACTGTCTGCTGACTTAATCAGGAAATGTGGCTGAAGGATGCTGTGCTTTCTCTGTTTTCTGATACAAGAGATTGTTCTCAATCTTTGGTAAGAGCAAAGTGATTGAGTTATCAGATTATCAGGGAAATGTTAACATATGTACATGTCTGCAGGCCAACTATTTTGGTGCTGAAAGAAAAGCTCCTGAGAGCAAGAAAAGTAAGGGAGCCCCTCAGACCATGCCTAATCTAGGCCATAAATCACTATCTACTGCTCTTGCATCAGAGAGAAGAGATTTTGAGGATTGTTTTCCCCATATGAAATCTTCTCTACATATTGTGTCAGCTGTTAAACAATTAGCACCAAGCGATTTGCCGAGCCCTTTGTTAACGGGTGACAATAGCAGTGGGAGCAATGGAAGTGCATCGTCTGTTCAATTGAAAAGAAAATTAGGAGTAAACCAGAATAAAGCTTGGGAAAGCTGGTTGTCCCAGAGGAATGTGACTGAAAGGGTAACTTTTCTTATTGTATTAGGGTGCATTTTTTTCACTAGCTTTAAGCTATCAGGAATGAGATTAAGTGGGGTCAGGCGGATGTCAGTATGGGCCTCCAATAAACCACACATGAGCACAAGTTCCCTTACCTGTAAAGGACATTCTTCCTTGGATTACAGTGTAGGCTCTTCTCATATCAAGGAAAGTGGCATCGGTGGTGGGATAAAGAAACTCTTGGAATTGGCTAAGGTTCAATTCAGGAACCCTTCAGATGCTAGGATTTCACAAAGTTCCTGCCTTCCTGCTAGTCTTTCAACCTCCATCATGGCAGTGGACAAGAAGCAAATGTCTGCGGAAGAAGCTGAAGCTCTTGTCAGGCATTGGCAAGCAATTAAAGCTGAAGCTCTGGGACCAAACCATCAAGTTCATATCCTCTCTGAAGCCCTTGACGAGTCAATGTTAATTCAGGTAATATCTATTGAACGATATCTTTTGATTTCATGCTTTGCTATGTTAACAATAAGATAATCCATAAACCTTTGAAAGGCACTAACTCTGAATTCATGATGTGGAAAAAGTATGTTTATTTCAAGATTCTATTCCTCGAGGTGGAAGTAACACTTCATAGCTAAACCCTTTGGCTTTTCTGTTTACATAATTGGTCTGCAGTGGCAAACTTTGGCTGATACAGCAAAAGCTAGATGTTGTTATTGGAGATTTGTTTTGCTTCAATTGACCATTCTGCGAGCAGACATTCTGTTGGATATAAACAAGAGGGAGATGGCTGAAATTGAGGCTCTCATAGAGGAAGCAGCAGAGCTTGTTGATGAGTCTCAGGCAAAGAATCCTAATTACTACAGGTGATTAAAACCACTTTGGCTTAGTGCATTTTTGGGGCTCAAATTGTAAATGTCACTGTATATAGCTGTATGTTAGAATAATATTTGCAAAGCTTGAAAGGATGCCAAGGGAAAATTTCCACATCTCAACTGCCAATGCATTAACATTAAATTGCAGCTTCAGTTAAATCTGTCTGAAAACTGGCTACATCCCTGTATTATGTTGCATTTTCTGCATTATTTGTGTATCTGTCACTTCAACAGTCTTATTATATTTTACTTAAAATTTTGCCAAAAACCTAAACTTTGAAACTGTTCTATTATCCTTTCGACCAAGTTTCTTTCTCTTTCGATTGCAGCACCTACAAAATCTGCTATATTCTAAGAAGGCAAGATGATGGATCATGGAAATTTTGTGTAGGTGACATTGTAATGCCATCATGACACAGCATTCTGGAACATGTATAACAAACCACGATCAGTCGACCGGTAATTGTCTCCTAACTTAGCTTCTAGTCTGGAACCTTTGGCCGAACGATGAAACCTGGGAATGTAGAAGCAGATCTCCAAGGCAGTGCTGTGATTGGATTTTTAATTTGGTCAGCCATACGTGATAGGTTATAATTTTAGCCATTGCCTGATTCTAACGTATGACTGCTTGTAAATGTCCAGAAACCTTTGAGTACCTAATTTCAATTTTTTCATTGTGAATGCGAGTTTGACAGACTCGGGGTTATATAATGGATGTATGCATCTTTTAATGAAAATAGATGTGACAGTGGCACAACTTAGACTAGCCTAACGGTAAATTTGACAATCCAAAATACGAAATGATGATATAATACGAAAATGATATGAAAATAAAATATGAAAGCGATATGATTTAAAATTATAATAATAATTATATATTTAACAAAAAAATATTTTATATTTTTATATCAACATAAATTAATATTTAATTTTTATATAAGATACAATATGAATATACGAATTTTAATATTTTACACAATATAACTATACGATTACCTAATGATTTATTTTCGAATTAAGATCCAAAACTGATGAGTTTAGATAATGTTTTCTATCATCTTTTTTATAATTATGAATATGATTAATAAGATAAGATAAATAAATAAGTTTGGTAAATTGAAAAATAAGAGATTCCGAATGCAGCTAAAAAAGTTGTAAAACCATTTTAAGAAAATTAATTCATGTTTAGTTATTATTCTTATTTCTTTGATAATTTATAATGTTAAAATGGAGATACAAGTGGGAAATATTTTTTTAAATTAAATTGGTCCTTAAGATTTGTTTTTTTTTTTTTAAAGAAAAAAACAGAGGGAATATATTTAGAAATGATATTTTTATCGGTTCTTTGTAACTAGGGTTAAATGCATTTTAGTTCTTTAAACTATATATATATATATATATATATTTTAATTTGATATTTGAAAAATAAAAATTTATTATTAAGTATCTGAACTGGTACATTGCCAATCAAATTATTCCGAAAGGTAACTCTATTATGACATGGCATATCAGCTGGTAAGTAAAGCCTAATCGGTTAACATGTCAGTGCTACGGTATTCACCAGGTCCTCGTCGTGTTAGCGATAAAAAGAAATATTAAAAATAAAAAAAATGATTTATAAAAAGTCCTAAAAAAAAGAATAAAAAAGAAAGATCAAAGAAAATATGAAAATTTAAAAAAAATCAAAAATTAAAAATATGATTCTCTTTAAAAAATCAAAATATGGATATTTAAAAATTAAAAACTTTAAAAACTTTTAAATGTTGTCAATTTAAAAAAATCAAAATCTTGAAAAAAAACTTAAAAAAAAAATTAAAATATAGAAAAATAAAAAGAATATAATTAAAAAAAATAAAAAAAAAGAGAAAGAAGGAACTAAAAAAAAAATAGAGACGAAAGATTGACTGACTTTGATCGATCGATTTGGGGCATGTCAAGATTGATTTACTTTAAATTAGGTGAATCAATGTTGATTTAATTAGAATTTATGTAATTTAAGATTTATTGATCTCGATGATCTAAGATAGATTAATTGACTTTAATTGTTTTATTGATCAATTAGTTCTTTATTTTAATTTAAAAATAAAAATATTATTTTAATTTTTTATTTTCAAAATTTTTTTTTTAAATAAAATGATGTAATATTTTTCGTCCCTTTCATAATTTTATTAAATATTTTTAGTTACCTCAATCAACTAACTAATTATATTAATAAAAAAAGCAAAAAAACATTATGAAAATAACATTCAAATATACATATATATATATATATAAATTTGTATTCTCTAATAACAAATTAAAAAACATATCATAAATAAATTTGTATTAATATATATCAATGAACACTCTACATATGTTAGGTATATAAAAGTAGAAGAGTTTATTTAATCAATTCGATTAATTTTGAATAAATTATTTAAAATTAAATTAAATTATTTTTATTAAATAAATAAATTATTTAATTTAAAAAATTAAACTACAAAAATTAATTTAACTAATTTGATTAATTTTTTATTAATCAAATAATAAAATATATTAAATTAAATTATAATTTAAATTCTTATATTAAGATAAATTATATAAAATCATCCAATAAAAATATTTAAATATTAAAATATTAAGTTAAAAATTTTAATAATTTGAAATAAAATTAGTAATTAAATAAATTTTTAATTATATATATAAATTTTATTATACTTTTATTAAAATTTTGATTAATTTAATTTTTAAACTAAATTAATTAAAAATTATTTTTTTTCAAATTATCTTTTATAATTATCTAAAATTAATTTGATGATTTGATTAATTAAATTAAATCGATTTTATCCGCTAATTCATTAAAACCAAAATTTGGAGGACCCTGGACAAAAGAGTAGCTGGCAATTCGGCCATTTTATTCTACGCCTTTTGTTCCTCCAAAAAAAACCTAATCCAAGTACTAGTTAGTATAATTTTGTCTTCTTCACATTTGTAAATTAGGTAGTAATAATACGGTTTTGATCCAAGCTTAAAAAATTTTGGGGGTACTTGGCGTGAATTATCAAGGTAATCGGAGGAGGCGGAGCATGGAGGAGGTGGAGGCGGCGAAGCAGAGATGTCGAGTATTGATAGAGAAAATAGAATCTTTGGGCATCACCCTCAATTTCAATTCCAATTGCAAGCACACCCTCTCGAAGTTGGCCCATTCCGAGCTCTCTTTCCTCTCTCGCTTTCCCAATCCAACCTCTTCTCACTCTCTCAGGTTCTTCTTTCTCTTAATTTCATCATCAATATTTCTAACGTTGTTTACATTTAGCTCTCTGTATCTGTCTTTTTAAGTTTCAACAACAACAAAAAGGTTTCATTATCTTGTTTTGAATGAACAGTGTCAACATTGGGCACCTGGAAGCCATTGTTTACATTCTTCAACAACCTTTTATAACTGCAGTTTCCCGTGTTTGCAAGCCACTTCCCCTTCCATTTTCAAATAAAAATAAAACCCAATTTTCTTCCAATCTCATCCATGTCCATATTGTATGTACTCTCAACAAAAACCCAGTTTGGATTATTGTTTCTGATAGAAACCCAAACTACATTTCTTGGCATCCAAGTAAAAAAACCAAGGGTTTTAAGTCTAGAATCCAACAAGTCCTTGATGCAGCACGGTCAACCAAAACCTTACGACCTTTCTCTATTGTCCTTTTCTTTTCAAATGGACTCACCAACTCTATCCATCAGAAGCTTATGGACGAATTTGGGGCCTCCAAGCTAGCACTGGACTTGTCTGACTCTTATTTTGATTCCACTGAGGAAATTGATGGCGAATGGGTTAATGTAATTTCAAGGTCGTATAAGGAGACATGTCTTCTTGAAATTAAGGTTGATTGCGTTGTGAATGATGTCATGAGTTTTGAACATGGGACGAAAGATTTGTTTACAAATGTTTTTACCCCTGAGCATCAAGGAGGGAATGTGAATCTAAAATTAGGCTTAGGCCATTCTTTTTCTGCTCTTCTTTCACGAATGAAAAAGGTGGAATCTACTAAGGCGGTGGATTTTTCTGATGAGAATGATTTTATAAACTTTGATACAACAGCTTTGATAGCTGTTGTGTCAGGAATCAGCAATGGTTGTGCAGAGGAACTTTTGAATAAACCACAGGTTGAACTGCAACATCGGTTCAAGGGAAATTATGAGTTTGTGATTGCCCAGGTAAAACTTTCATTCAAGTTATGTTTTTCCTGTTGCTTCGTGCCACATAATTTTAAGAATCTTGACGATGCAAGTTGATCCATATGGATAACTTAAGATCTCTTCCTCCTGTCTTTGTATTACGCCCATGGAAGTTAGATAGCCTAAAATAGTTTCTAGGCATGAATTCTTAACTTGAAAGTCTTGTTTCTTGAAGGTTCAATATATTTTTGTATAAAATTCTAAAGAAATTTTTGTTTATTTGTGGATTACAGTTTACTAATCTCTTGTTTGCATTGGCTCATGTGTCGGTCTATATGTTAATTTAAATATGAGGAATGACGGTGAGGAATATTTTTTTTGAAATTAATTACAATGGTAGGAGTTGATTCACTGTGGCAAAGTCAGATGGTTAATGATATCTCTTCACCTAACCCAAAAACATGAAAAAAAATTGAAATTATGCAATTTTCATGTTGACCAGTCTCTGGGTAAAGCAGGTCTAGTTAATACTCATGGAAATATGGTCATGACATTTGTACTAATCTATGCAGTCATTCTTCTTCTTTCTCCATGGGGACAAAATTAAAAAGCCTTCTTATACTTTCTTTGTTTTTCTTTTTCCCCAACATTCACTAATGAAGCTATTAGTAATGGCAGACTCATTGCTCATGGTTGCTGTGGTTAAAAAAGATACTTATCTTAGGAAATCTGAGGCTACTTCTATGAGCCTTAAATCTCTAACGATTGAAGGAGATAATTTTCTTCTAATTGAAAGCGTCTATGGAAGTCATATGATTGGCAAGTCTTACCCCAAGTAATGTCTATTCTGCAATTGTGTTGTGGTTGATTTCCTTGACAATTTAGTAAGCTTGTTGCTGGTTTGGAATTCTTCTTCTTTCCTTTCTCATTTGGATTTATGGTAGTACCTCGTATTAGTTCATGGAAAAGAATAACTCGAGTAACCTTCATACATTCATATTCTTTGTATCATAAAATCTTGTACCCTTGGCATGCTAAATTATCCATGTATTTTCCTACTGAATCCTGCCAATTAAGTATTCAAAAGATATCCATGAGATTATTTTCTGCTGCTGTGCAAAATTTTAAGCAACCAGAACTATCAATTCCAGCTACCATTTTTTCATCAAATCTTAACCTAGGCCAATGAATTACAAACCCTTATTGCCGTTCCTACCATTATTATAGATTTAAGTAACTAGTCCCTTAAATTATATCCCACTGTTAATATAAAACCATGTGGGTTGATTCTGATATACATGCTACATTAATGTCAATGTTTTACTTGATATATCTCCCCCAACTGCCTTCCCACAAGGAGGGTAAAGCAAAAGTGATTTTGAATGACATGTAAGTTTTTTTTTTTTTTAATAAACGTCAGTTTTTTTATGATAATGACTTACACCTCTGTTATTTTTAGCATTATTGATGTTTTGTTTTTATGCCTTGTTAATGGATAGTTTATACTAGACTTAGATCTCAGTTGGAGTAAGGCATGTACCTCTTGACAGGCAATGTCTGAAATTCTGAACCCAATACATGCCGACCTGAGTGCTGCTGTATCCAGAAAGATAGGCATAATATGTGAAAGTGTTCTTTCCGAGTTCAAGGAGCTAATATTGATGTGTGGAGGAGCTAATGAGAAGCACAGAGCTGATCAGCTACTGAAATACCTCCTGTGAGTTCTCTGACAACTCTTACTAATATATTGAAGGGTTTAGTTGCGAGTCTAAGGATTTAAGCATATGATTTATTTAGGTTTGGTGGTAGCAAATCAAACTGGCACTAAATCTGGTGTCAAATCTGAAATCTCAATTAAAGCTGCGGCAATTTTAATATAGAAGATAAATACTGAGATTCAACACCCTAGGTTGCATAGGAGTTACATGACCAAATTCTAAGGCTATTGATTTAAGGCGCAAGTGCAGTGCTAGAAAATCACAAGAAAATAGTTCCGTTTCATGCAATAGTTACTAGCTTATATCTAAGAGATCTAAGAATCTTATTCCTACAACCAAATATACAGCCACCAATTGTGACTTAAAACAATTCCCTAAACCAATGACAAAAGCCTGTACACATAAGTAAACTAGTGTTCTTGGACTCAACCATCTGTAAGTTCCAGCAAATTCTAGAAATTAGTGGAATCCCTGACGCTTAAAACGAGGATAAAGGTAAACTAAACCAAACAAACTTCTATCTGTTAAGAAACTTAAAAAATGGGACAATAATTTCTGTTCTTGGTTATTTAGTTTCTAATCTGTATAGATCAAAATAGGTCCTAATTCCAGATTTTCTTGGATGTAGAATTTGACTTTTCTCTGAAATTTTTCCATGTCTAAACTTTAACAGGGTTGTGCGAGATAGCCCCTCTGAACGACTGATAGGCCTGCCAACGACAAGAAAGCTGGCACTGAAAAACAAGATTGTGTTTGGAACTGGAGATTACTGGCATGCTCCGACTTTGACTGCAAATATGGCATTTGTGAGAGCAATTGCACAGACTGGGATGTCTTTATTTACTATTGAGCATCGACCACGGGCTTTAACTGGTAACTAGCCATTCTAACCAGTGAGACGTGCTGTTAAGAGAAATCCATTTTTGGTTAAAGTGTTCAAGGGCTATGTGTGCACTTGTTACCTCTATCTTGTGTACAGTTGAGTAAACTCACATTTTCACTAACGGTTAGCTGTTCCAATTAATGAAATGCATATTTAGAGAACATTTTAAAGGAAGATAACCCCTGATTGCCCATCAGATAGAGACAGATTTTGCAATAATAATTCATTGAGCACACTTAGTTACAAACTTGCCCATTACTTTGCATATTTCAGATATCAGGCAAAACATGTTGGCTAGCAAGCTTATGAGTCATGATGGTGATCCATGATTTCTCACACGTAATCAACTCTTCTAGATGTGTTTGTGACCTGTCAGACATCTCTCTTGTTAGAGTAACAAGTTTGAGTCGGTTACATGTTAATAATTAATTTGATAACCAACCCATGCAAGAATGGCATTGGCATGGTATGCAACATTTAAAAAAAAAAAATAAATCTGTGGAGCTTCAAAATTATTGTGCTATTTATTGTCTTGCTAATAAAATTCCAATGCCCAATAGTATGTGAGCAATATGAATGTAATAACATTCTAGTTCTACGAGTGACTTAGATTTGCTCATCTTGATTGCTGCTTTTGAGGTATTGCATGATTGGCACTATCATTTATTAAAGGGAAATTGATACTATGATGGTCATGTTAACAGGAATGGACTTTTGCGGAAGTTTCTTTATTGCTCATGTGAACCGCTTTCTAGGTTTGAAGATTTCGTCAATGGTCCCAACAATTTGGCTGGACGTTACTTGCTTAAATTTAGGTAATTTATTGTATTTTTGTTGAATATTTACTGTTTGTACTTTCTGGGTACGTTCACAGTAATAATAATAATAATAATAATAATAATAATAATAATGAACACTGGTTGATTAATATTATAAAACACTGCAATGAAAATAAAAATAAAAATGATAAACGAAAAATTTTCCTAATTTAATTTTTTACAGCTATCAGCCAATATATTTATATTCGGAATTTAATTTTCAATAAAAATACCAAATAATTTTTATAATTCAAATTCATTACTTATCAAAATCAGTATTAAAAGTTTAATACTTAATTATTCATCGCTTGATTTTTCAGTTTATAGAAAAGAACCCAAGTTAATTTGTTAATTTATTAATTAAAGAATTGGGTTGTTGCATGAGAGTGCAACCCCAATAGGCCCAATGTCTTTGGGCTAGTAGAATTTGCATGGAAACCATATTTAGATGGACTAAACCTAACTAAAAAAAGCCTAGAGAGTCCAATATATCTACAACTCTTTGACAATTAATTCCGTGTTAGAGAAAATAGTGTGAAGGCGGTCATACGTTCAGGGAATAAAGGACCCAATGTGATAAATCCTTGTAATCACACGTCGAAGATGATATGTTGAGAATGAAAATAAAAATATTAATAAATTTCATTGAAATCGAGTTGTGATTTTTAAAAGTTTTATTATCAAAATTGAAAATTTTCAAAAGTTAAATGGTCAAATATATAATTATTCCTTTTTAATATCCAAATTTTATTTTTGAAAAATTATAATTTTACATTGATAATATCATTTGACATGTTAGATGACATAATAATACCATGTGATAAATGTCAGATGACATGAAAAATCACGTCAATTAGCTATTAGCCTCTAAAAGCTTAATAACCAAAAAATAATTTTAAAAATGTTGTTGATCAAATTGTGATTTTTTTGTAACTAAGTGATCAACATATATAAAACATGAAAACTGTAGGGGTCAAATGTACAATTTATCTTTTTTAATGTTAGTGCTTTAATAGTGCTTAGGTTGTTGAAAATTCGATTTGCTTTCACATTATTATTTTTAGATTACAGGTATGAATGTGAGTTTGGTTTTTGATAGATATGTATATCTGATTAAGAATTTTTAATTAATCAATTAATTATCATTACTTTTTCATTATATTTTTTAATTTTGAATTAATGTATTTAATTAATAGAGTTTAAATTAAATTAAATTAAATTAAATTTCTTTATTTATAGTTCTAATGTAGAACAGAACCCACTTAATTAGCAAAAGTTAATCTGCATGAAGTTCAAGAAAAACAAAAACTAAATAAGGTTTATGTTAGGAGAGTTATTAACACATTCAAGATAAAATTAAAAAATTGGACAATATTTTAATGTTAATGGAATAACATACAGAAAAACTATTCTCTTTGGCTTTGACTTCCAGTCAACGATTTTTTTTTTTTTAATTTCTCGGTAGAAATTGGCATTTGATAAAAAAAAAAAAAGTATAGAGTGATGGGTATCCCTTCCTTCAAAATTGATCTTTGATAAGTAAAATTTTTCTTTTTCTTTAATATAATTGTGTTTATATGTTTATTTTGTTATGTAAGTAATTGATTTTTTTTTTTTATAAATAACACAATAAGTCATGTGCAACGTAGCGATCAAGAAGCTACATTTTATAAAAATTTCACACCCTAAGGCCCAAGCCATATTTATATAATAATATAGATTATTGTTACTTCTTTTTTTATAACTTAGATTAAAAAAATGATGAAGGATTAATTAACACGCATACTTTTATGCTTACAGGAAAAAAATATATAAAAACAATTGATCATATGAACTTTTTTTTTTTTTGCAAACATTTTATAATTAATTGTAAATTTTTTAAAGTATTATAATAATAATAATTATTATTATATATTTGTTTAGGTGTGACTTTGGATCACACAATGAGAGAGAGATAAACATCTCCCATCTCCTAAAATTCTTTGTACATATCCCAAAATTCGAATGCCAAATCATCTCAAATTCCAAATGATGGGATGTTAACGCATCATAATTTTGTCTCTTTCAAGAAACAGTTTTAACGCCATGCAATAAATGCAATCCCCATAAAAATGTAGATTTGCGTTTAATGTTCCACCTCCAAGTAATGCATCCAACGTTTCAAATCACAATCCCAATCTCAACCACTAAGGACAAACAAGCAATGACTGATCAACAATGAAAACAAAGAATCTCTAAAACACAGTACGAATCAATGAACAAAATGAAAAATGAAAAATTCTTGATGTATTTTATTTTTTAATGATATATTTGATTAGTTGATTGTAATCATGTATTGAAATTGATTATTAGTCTTACTCTAGCCTTAAGAGAGATTATTTTTGTTTTTCATCCTTCATACTTTGATTTAGGTTAAAATCTCCATGGAATTATTAATTGAAAATAAGCCACGTAAATTGGTTCTACGGATTTATTTAGTTATAAACATTAATTTGTCATCATCTCTAAATGTCCTTTCATTTTCATATTGGTTTACTTTAGTTATGAGACTTGTACATGAAAGTTTGGGCTTTATTGTAGGTTGTTGAAATTTTAATTTGGTTTCATCTTATTATTATTTTTACATTACTGGTGTGAAATATGAATTTGGCTTTTGATCGCAATGTAATATGATTTTCTATTGATTTTAGATTTAGTGCATTAATTGGAGGCAGTTGAAATTCTAATTTGTTTCACATCATTGTTCTTATATTTATTTGGGCTTTTTGAAAAAAAAAAAAATCTTGGTTACCTTGTAGGTTCATTAGGATTAGTTATTATTGTTTGTAAGTATGGGAGCATTTTAACTATAATTTTCTTATTATAATACTACAATTGTTTAATCATAATTAAGAATTTTGTGAGGATCTACCACTTATAAGAGTGGATTGCACATAATATTTTGGTAGAATCTACATACCTCTAAATCTAATTATTTAATTGTAGTACAATTATTATAGGTGATATGTTCTTTATAAGTATGAGTTTCATATAAAATTTTGATCAATCTCACATCTATAATTATCAATTATAATTGATTAATTATAATACAATAATTATAAATAATACGTATCCAATTTTGAGGAAAGCAAAATGTATAAATTCACTCATTTTCTTTCATATGAAACGAAATAAATGATGAAAAGAAATAAATTTTCTTTTTTTTTTTCCTTCTTTTCTCCTACCAAACACAGCTTTAACGCCATGCATTTAATTGCAATCCCATAAAATGTGGACTTGCTTTTAATGTTCAACCTCTAAATAATGCATCCAACCTTCCAAATTGCAACCCAAGACCAAACTCCCCCCAATTCTCATCTGCATTTAAAGGGATTGGATTTATATGCATGGCGTTAAAACTGTGTTTGGTAGAAGGAAAGAGGAAATAAAGAAAAACTATTTCTTTTCATCATTTCTTTCGTTTCGTATGAAGGAAATAAGAAAATGGAAGGAAAATGAGTAGATTTACACACTTATAAGTAATAAACCAATTATAATTTAAAATTATATGGGATTTACAAAATATTATATAAAGACCATACTTACAAGTGATAAACCCTTACATAATTTTTTATTATTATTGAATAGTTATAATATTATAGTAAAAGAATTGTAGTATGAATGTGAGAGTTTAGCTTTCATATAGTTAAGTAATCTGATTTGAGATTTTTTTATTAATTAATTAATCTTCATTATTTTTCCAGGATACTTTTTAATTTTGATTTTAATTAATTGATAGAGTTCTAATATAGAATAAAAACCACTTAATTAGTTAAAGCAATCTATTGAGTTTTAACAAAAAACAAATTCCATAAATAAGATTTATGGTAAGAGAGTCATTATTAATTTGAAGATAAAAAAATAGATAAAACCTTTTTTAAAAGTTAATGGAATAGCATAAAAATTTATTTTATAGAAAACTATTTACCGTACACAAACTTTTATTAATATTTCATTTTCATAATGATTCTTAAAAATTTTATACAACGACCTTTCAGAAGATTTTATTTGGGATTGTATTTAATGTTAGTGCTTTAATAGTAGGTTGTTGAAATTTTTGTTTGCTTTCTCATTATTAGTTTTAGATTAAGTGTATTAATGCAAGTTTGATTAATTAATTTTCTCCAATGGTTAGTAGAAACTGGCATTTGATCAAAGAAATTAGTGATGCCTATTCTTTCTTAGCATTCAATCCTCAATACTAAACTTTTTACTTTTGTTTAATATAATTGAATATATTATGTGGAGTTTGTTATGTAAGTTAATTGTTTTCTTTTATAAATAATGAGCAAAATTCATTGATGACATACGACCTTTTATCCATGTATAAATTTTATTTAAAATCTTTAAAAAGTTATATTTATCATCTACGACTTTTATTAATATCTCATTTTCATCAATGATCTTTAAAAATTGCATTTGTCATCCACTACTTTTATTAATATTTCATTTTTATTCATGATATTTAAAAGTTTCATGTATCAATACTTGCAACCTTTAATAAAATTTTACCTTTCATTAATCCTTTAATTAAAAATTAAAAAATCCCTTTGTCCTATTTTTTTATCCACCTTTATTTT